AGTTTTTGCAAGCCAAGGACGCTCTAGCCCCAAAGTCGCACTTACCCCAACTTACCTTACCAATAATATCAAATAAACTGACCAAATAACTTACCAGTCCTAGAAGTTGACGCAAGACTAAAGTATTTGGTAATTTCACTCATATTAACCAAAGAAATATCGGAAATTAAAATAAAATATACAAATTCAAGTCAATTCACATAACATCATGCGTCACTGGCCTTACACACAAGTAGTGAAACAAAGTAAATTAGTAAATTGACAAATTTTACTATCACAATCAATAAAATTAATCAAAAACGTGCTGAACGTTGGCTAGTCGACTAAAATTGCCCAACGCGCTCCAGCCGCTATGAAAAGCATGACGGGGATTCCCCGAGATTTCGCACGCGACGGTGCCATATTTAGTTGCCTTTAGCTATTATTTATTTTGGCATCCCTTAAAAATATTATTGCGACTTCTGGCGAATAATATTAAATTGTTTAAGCAACTGTTATCGATATTAATTAGGTCAACACTGGGTGTTTTTCTGACACTACTGAAAAATAAAATAATTGAAGGTAATGTTCTAAAAGTCGCCAAAAACGGGCACTTTTTGAAAAATCGCCGCCAGGCTCGAAACATCGTAAAAAGTAGTCATTTTGGGGACAAGTCGCCACAAATGGCAACACTGCATGTCAAGTGAATTTGCTTTGCAATCCAACCAACGTTATTTTAATTTACGTCGTGACTATTCTTTCGGTTACGGGATATATTTCTCCGATTAGTTGATCCTTCTATGAAAAATAAGATGCGTTTATAAACTTTGACACTTTTCATTGCTGATATTGATATAATGATATGCTTTTTTTAGAAGCCAATGAACTCAGAAGACTATTCCCTTACAGTTTTTCGTGGACTATACTATATTTCACACTTGTGAATACTTAATTGCAAAAATGTACACATATGTATATGGGGTTCACGTACCCCATATACGTTATCTGATTTTTTGTGATGTTCTTGTTTTGATAAAAATCTACTAACAACCTAAAACATATTCCTTAGTTGGATCCTTAGTAATTTCAACAATTTTGCGAAATGCTAATAACTTTATCCTTCCATACACACAAAAATGTATTCTCTAAAACTGGTTCTCGAAAGTGCCGATGTGGAAATTTTTAGTAAGAAATATATTTTTTTTAAATATTATTGTATATTTCGTCATTCCCAAGACTGATTGAAATGACCTTGAACCCCAATCCTAGGGTGACTAAGTTCACCCTCCCATGAACCTACGATTTTTTTCGAAGTGATGACTCTTTTTGATATAAAAAAGTGATTTCACAAAAGCCGCACAGGAATTTGTTAACTTTGCATATAGAGGTCACTTACGAAAATTTTTCCTGTCCTAATTTTTTGAACGATTGGTCTATACTAAAACCAATAATAATTGAGAGTAGAAGTAAGCCCAGTTGACAGCAAATCGGGGGCGTGCTTATTAATTTTTGAGAGGGTTAAGAATGAAATCATGATATTTGGTGTCCTAATAGACTTTTTGAATATCTACCTAACAAAAAAAAATCATTCCAATCGGTTAAAAAAAGTAAGTTTTATAAGGGTGCTTCAATCTTAAATGGGTCACACTGTATATTCGATCGCTCTATGACGCTTGGCAGAAAAGCGACAATGAGAAATGATATGAGCAGAAATAAAGAACCCACTGAAAATCTTTTGTTGTATTTTGGGTTCTTTAATTATGAATTCGTGAGAGTAATGTTTTATTTTCTGTAGTTATGGATAAAATAAATTAGTTTCTCTCAAGGAAGTCACTAGAAACCAGAACAATATATGACAGGATTTTTTGTTTTACCCGCTGACTTAGTTTCAATATATGAGGATGAGGTAGATGCCGTATCTGGACAGAAAACTTCCCAACAGATTTCTTTGAAATTTCGCTAATCAACTGGACTAAGAAATAATCATTTTTTTGACGTGAAAAACACTACACAAGTTTTGTTTTCACCAATACTCTCCAGTTTTCAAAGTAGAAATTGGATTTTTTTCATTTCTGGTGATGGGTATAACTATTTTGCAGGTCTGAAGGTCAGTCAATTGTTCTCAATAAGCATTGCTCACGTAATGTTGTAGAAAGGCAAAAATTATTGCAGTTCTGGTCTCTCAAACATGAATCTCGACCAGGTTGATCATTCATGACAGAAACATTTTCCAACCCCCACCAAAAAATTTCACAATTCTCATGAAATTGAAAATAAACCTTGCAGGTCGGCTCTCCCAGACATGAATCTCGACCAGATTATTTATTTTCGACAGAGAAATTTTCCAACCCCTACCCAAAAAGTTCATAAATCTCAAAAAAGTGAACACACATTTTGCAGGTCGGGTCACACCCAGATATCAATCTTGACCAGATTATTCATTTTCGACAGAAACATTTTGCAACCCATACCCTAAAAGCTCACAAATCTCAAAAAATTTAAAATATATTTCATTGGTCGGCAGAAATTCTTGCAGGTCGGGTGTCCCAGACATGAATCTCGTAAAGGTTGATCATTTTTGCCAAAAAAAATTCTAACCGCCACCCTTTGAGTATTGAAAAAATTCACAGATCTCATGAAATTGAAAATAATCCTTGCAGGTCGGCAAGAGAATTTGGCAGGTCGGGTCTTCCAGACATGAATCTCGACCAGGTTGATCATTTTTGACAAAAAAATGTCCAACCTCCACCCTTTGAGTATGGAAAAACTTCATAGATCTCATGAAACTGAAAATAAACCTTGCAGGTCGGCAAGACATTTTTGCAGTCGGGTCTCCCAGACATGAATCTCGACCAGGTTGATCATTCTTGACAAAAAAATGTCTAACCCCCACCCTTTGAATATGAAAAAATTTCACAATTCTCATGAAACTGAAAATAAACCTTGCAGGTCGGCAAGACATTTTTGCAGGTCAGGTCTTCCAGACATGAATCTCAACCAGGTTGATCATATTTGACAAAAAAATGTCCAACCCCCACCCTTCAAGTATGAAAAAATTTCACAATTTTCATGAAATTGAAAATAAACCTTGCAGGTCGAGAGAAATTCTTGCAGGTAGGGTCTCACAGATATGAATCTCGACCAGATTATCCATTTTTGACAGAAAAATTTCCCAAACTCCACCCAAAAAGTTCACAAATCTCAAAAAATTGAAAATACATTTTGCAGGTCGGCAGAAATTCTTTCAGGTGGGGTCTCCCAGACATGAACCTCTACCAGGTTAATCATTTTCAACAGAAAAATTTTCCCTATCCTCTGAGTATGAAAAAAATTCACATTTCTCATGAAAGTGAAAATAAAACTTGCTGGGTACAATAAAATTCAAATTTTCCATAAAATTCGAAATAAACTCGAATAGCTTTTCTGTCGAAAATGATCCACCTGGTTGAGATTCATGTCTGGGAGACCAAACCTACAAAAATTTTTGCCTTTCTACAAGATTACGTGAGCAATATTTACTGAGAACAATTTGCTGAACTGCAGACCTGCAAAATAGTTACACCCCTGGTGATGAAATGAAAAGAAGATGATCAACGGAGTGTATGGTTAACAGAAAAACATTTTAACGGAATTCCTGAATCCTTTTTAGATTCTCAAATCAAAGTTTCAATAATTGAAAGTAGTTATTCATCAGGTGCATCATGCATGTTTCATTTATATACTCATTTGTGAAATGAAATAAAAATTTGATTAGTTATTAATGAGTCACAGTTATACAAGTGAATTTCTGTATTTCCATGGTTTCACTTATGTTTCATTTTTTAACTTTCTTAACATTCATGTTTAACGGGACCGTTTTTCATTTCCAGTATAAAATAAGACACTAAAATAAGAGCATACATGGGCTTTCACGGCCAAAGTTATGATTAAACAAAACCAAATCCGTGGATGAATGGGACTTAAAGTCCCATTCTCTTCAAGAGGCACTAATTTCATAATTTCATGATAGTTTCCAAAAGCTGAAGAGATCGTGAAAGCTAAAATAGTTTTGGCAATTTCATTCACAATAGAAGCATACTTGATTAAATGTTTAAATTATAGTCCATTTTCTGAGTAACAAATTTCATCATTTCTCTTGGCATAAGTTTATAAGCAGAGTGCGATGTAGTATACAAAATCAAAACCATAATGATTGTTGAAGAAGCATATGTTTTTTTTGTGAATTTGCTTCAACTGATCAGTGAGGCTATATAATTTTGAAAAATACTTGGTCAAATTTGAAAAGATTTAAGTTGCTGAGGTTTTTACTAACTTTGGATCCTTTAGCAAGGCATTTGAATTGATTCATCTGGCAAAGCCAGTAGACATACCACCAAATTAGAAGACGGAAAATTGCACACACCTATTTCTTTCTAATTTCTTCATTTTTTGGGAAACAAAAACTGTGACCAGGATGAAATAAATTAGTTTCTCTCAAGGAAGGCATTAGATCAAGATCTTCAGATGATGTGGTGCTGCTGGTTTTTCCGGGTTTTCCTGTAGCTGAAAAAGCAAATGCGCCAAAAAAAAAATTGAGTAGGTTGTTATAGAAGAAATAAAAACGTTGATATTTTCTGACAGTTTTTCTAATTCTTAGTAGGGCATAAGTTTTATTATTATAATATCAACACTTTGTAATTTAGTGTAAACACCCTTCAGTGTTCCCTAAAAAAATATATTTGTCAGTAACTTATTGTATTTCATTTTGTCTTATAAATTCAACAGATTCAAAAGTCCATTTCTGTCATCAGGATACAAAAAAGTCCAAACAAACCAGTTGGTTTTGTTGTGTAACCTTCTTTTGACTGATCTCAGATGAACAAGACATTGTTACTCCTCTTTAAAGGGACACATACAAGTTCCAATCACTATGCCTGCATTAAAAATCACTAACAGGTCTCTCATGCTCCCAACGAATGAAAAAACAAAAATCATTCAGATTCTATTTACGAAAATCAGGTGAAAAATAACTTATCCTGAAATATTGCTATAATTCATATACTACATAAATAATTACAGCCTTTTATCAATGTAAAAACAGTTCATACATCCTTATGCTTCTATAAATGAAAAATAAATAACAGGAATCATTCTACAATGTGATTATTGATAAAACATATTTGGAATCAAAAAAAAGGATGAAGTTACACATTAAAAAAATATTCAGTTTTTATTATGAATCCAACTAGGATACTTCTACACATACGGATTCCTCACTGATTCTCTTTTGGTGGTGGTGGTGTTGTGATGGGCCTTTTGAAGAGTAGAATGTGTGGTTCTGGAATTGATTAATTTAAAATTGTTATTTTCAGCTATCCTTTTTTTAATTATTCTTTTTTACTTGTTTCAGGGATTTCAAATCATTTTATATAGTAGACAATGGAAGTCCGAACTAGTGAAATTCGTCACGAAACATTGTCAATCACCTTCAAACAAACAGTAATTGATATATCTTCCTGAATTAGTAGGTTTGACATACCAATCTGTAATCAAGGAATTATCAGTTTTACGAATAACTCTTGTATCGAGAAAAGAAAGGGTCTGATTATTTTCTATTTCGATAGTGAATTGTAACTTCTTATCATATCTATTGACAACATCAAGAATTTCATTAGATTTGTCATAAGGTATTGCACAGATGACATCGTCAACATATTTCTTTAAAAAAGGAATTTTAAAACTCAATTTGGGAAGTATGTTATAGCTCAATACGTAATGGACGATCTTTTTGAAAACATACTTCCCAAATTGAGTTTTAAAATTCCTTTTTTAAAGAAATATGTTGACGATGTCATCTGTGCAATACCTTATGACAAATCTAATGAAATTCTTGATATTGTCAATATATATGATAAGAAGTTACAATTCACTATCGAAATAGAAAATAATCAGACCCTTTCTTTTCTTGATACAAGAGTTATTCGTAAAACTGATAATTCCTTGATTACGGATTGGTATGTCAAACCTACTAATTCAGGAAGATATATCAATTACTATTCCTTTCACAAAAAATCAGTTAAAATTAATTTAATACTCTGTTTGAAAAAAAGAATAGAAAAATTAGTACACCCTTCCCTCAAGCAAAAAAATCTCAGACTTCTTAGAGACATATTAATCGATAATTCTTATCCCAGAAAACTTCTTAATAAAATAATTTTCAATACTGGCAGTAATACAAATTCTGATGTAATTAACAGAAATGTATGTAATGATAGTTCACCTATCAATATTTCTTATAAATATATACCTAACCTTGGAAATTTATCTTCAAATATCATAAAACTTTTTNTATATATATGTATGTATATACATTGTGTAAACAGAAAGTTTACACAATGTAGAATTTCTACAAAAGAAAGAGTATTCAAAAAGTGTAGTTCGGCCAACAGGCAATTGCACCATATGTGATCATTGGTCTGACAATCATCACATAACTCCAATGGATTTGTTTGGGACCTAAATCCCAAGTTTTATCACAAATCCTTCAACATATCTATAGGGACAGTCTGGCTTTGTGTACATTTTTTTTCCAAGTGAGCGTTCCAGGTGAGTTTTTTATCAAGAACAATGCCAAAATATTACACCTCTGTTCCAAATGGAATGACTTCACCATTGAGGGAAAGTGACGTTAGATCGTCCAATTTTCTCCTCCTAGTGAAGGAGATTATCACAGTTTTGCTGGGGTTGACAGACATCTGCTCCCTCAGACACCATGGTTTAACATACTTTGGAGAATGTTACAAGCTATCCTTCTCGACGTGAACCTTGCCAAGATGACAAGGTCATCTGCATAAGCTTGCAGATCTCCCTTTCTTCTGTCGAGGGCATCAAGCAGATTATCCATCAGGAGCGACCACAGAAGGAGAGATAGTACCCCACCTTGAGGGCAGCCTCTCTTGAAGAGTCGTAGTTGCAGTTCTGTCTACTAGTTTGGCATAGATCCAGCTAGTTATGGTCAATTCTATACATTTCCTAGCCTGAGATGGTCCTGTGAATTTAGGTAGTGCATTATCAAATGCTCCTTCGATATCGAGAAATACAGCAACCGCAATATCCTTGTTGTCAAGGGATTGGGAGATTTTCTCTACAAGGTTGTTTAATGCTGAATCTGTCAATTGCCGGTTTGATGAGCATGCTGGTGGTTATTCAGGGGGATGCATATAATGCCACCCTCCTGATGTTTCCGTTCAGTATCCTCTCACGTCTTTTCAACAGGAAGGATGTAAGGCTGATTGGTTGTACCGATTTAGGATGTTGGTGTTTCCCACCCACTTGAGGTATATATACCACCCTTGCTGCCAACCAACTGGGTGGTATATATTTCCATAAACTATACAAGTTTATGAGAATAGGTAAAATAATGCCCAGTCTGTTTTGAAGGACTGAAACATCCTCTCCAGGAGATTTGAAGGGCTGAAACTTGATAGCCCATTCAACTGCCGGTGCTGTGATAAACTTCTTGACGACCTCCCAATCGTAACAGAGTAACAATAAAATTAAGTTATCTTTGTTATGTAATCCGAAATAAAAGGGACACAAGGCTATGTACTAAGGCTCCTATACTCTGGCCAGGTGCAATCTACTCTTCAATATTGCTTAACATTTTGGAGTTCATCAGCATAAACCAACAGAGTTTTTACAGGTCAGACGCGAATATTACAAGCCATGCATAAAATGTCGCCAACGTCATCATGCAGACCAATCTTTAAGAAAGAAAACACTTTCCGATTTACTCTTTATGTATTTTCACATACTATATAATCGCTCTTACCTGGGGAATGTGTCATATAATGCATCCAACCTTTGCTCTGCTGTACACCAATTTCTCTCCATTCTTTTTCTGACATCAAATGCGTTTTTGGTACCAATTTGACCATTTCTTTTGGCAGAACTACATGCCTATAAAAATAATGAAAAAACTGCATTCTTACAATTCCAAATTTATGAAAAAATATACCTAATGGTACATTGGCTTATTATAGAAGCGGTTCATCTCTCTGTAGAGATAGAATAATCAAAATTTATGCTCATCTGTGTGACATATTATTTCACCTCAGCACATCATTTCTTTAGCACGAATGGTTTTCTTCATACTTAACTGCTAGATATCAACAGGTGAAATGTAACATTTATGTTTTGAGTTTAATTTTATTCTTAATTGTAAATGGTCTACTCGAACCCTTGAAAGGAGAGTTTAACAGTCTTAAGTACTTCAAATGTCAGAAAACAGGCTATCAAAGCCAACAAATGGCTCAAAGAGAGAAATTCGTATGCAACATCTATAATCCATACAAAGAACCTGCTAATCTATCTCTTTACTTAATATGAATTACATACGAATATTTGAAAAAATAGTTTTTTTCTTCTACTAACTATATTCAAATCTTAGAGTCAATAGCTATTCTTGATTGAAGAAAAGAACATTTCTCATGCTAATAATAATTGATGTTTAATCAAAAACGAAGTTCTACTCAGTAGTAAGTTTTTAAAGTCGAAATAAAGTTAAGTATACTTGCGGAATGGGAAGATGATAATACTTGAAGTAACACAATTCACCTTCAATTCAGTGTAACTTTTTGTCTGTGTGAAATTTCTTCGACATGGTACATGGATAATGTCAGTGCAATCAGGTTGGCGAAGAATCCAAAATTTCACAATCGATCGAAAATATATAGAAATAAGATTCCACTTCATAAGAGAAAAATATCAGTAAGGAATCGTACAGATTCAACATGTCAGCAGTACAAACCAAGAGGCAGATGTGATGACAAAATCCATTCCTTTTATAAAGATTATCAAAAAATGAGAAGAATGTTGAAAGTGGTCCAGAAATAATTAGGAATATGTCAATTTTGGAAGTTAATCTCGTATTCTCTTGTTTACGTTTCGTCTAATTGCTATAGTTCTATAAAAATTCACTCTCAATATATATAAATGTTGAGTTCGCGACCCGTTTCTGGAATTTTGTGTTTGACGTTTCAGCTCCATTTTCAAGAAATTGATGTGACGACGCGGGGGCCTCAATATGCCTACTTCCCAGGTCGCGTCATGAGTCATCTCTAAGGTATCAATCTGCCTACTCCTTAGAATGAAGTGAGGTATCGATGAGTGTTCGATGGTATTTATCTCGGTGGGAGCTACTGAAGTAAAAATGTGGGGACTGGGCTTTGGGTGATTACCATCACGAGACGTCTTGGTGAGGAGTGGACATCGGGAAATTATGGGTTTCCGGGTAGTTGAAAGTTTCTGACCGTTATCACGTTTGTTCAGGCAGGAAGGTAACTTTTCAATTTCGATGGACTCGCGAATTATCCAAGCTTGTAGTTTTTTCACTGTGGAGATGGTCTTAGTGTTCGCAAAGTCTATATTGTGTCCTGCTCTTGATGATGTTTATACAGGACTGAGGATGGGTCTGACTTTCGGACAGCAAGTTGATATTGGTATACTCTACTTGTCAAACGCCTGTTGGTCTAGCCTACATATGTTCTATGGCAATTGGAGCATGGAATTTAATATATACCCTGGGTATATTGTAGTCTGTACAGTTTCTTGTACAGTCTTCCAGTAAAAAACTTTTTGTGTTCCACACTAACAATATCCACTAACCATGACAGGATAAGAGATTGAAATGCACTCACTATCCTTGTAAGCCCCCCAAAGTGCGAAGAATAAAGAATAACAAACTATTTCGATTGTATTAAAAAATTATTTATTACTCGTTTGAGGATAAGGGCTTAGTATTCTAATTCATTATTCAAAAAATATATGAGTCAATTCTACATTGAGCGAACAAGCTTCAACCAGAGAATTTTGCTTGTTTCAAGTAGAATATCATCACTAGAGAAGTACTCTGACGACTGTCAATGTTAATTTTCTACTAAACTACAAGTAATGTCGCGAATGACTTTTAAAAATGCTGATTTTATGCATCAAATACAAATTTTTCTTCTCTTTACAAATATCATCACAATACTTACCGGTATTCATACTCTTCATCATAATATCTGTCGGAATAATAAATATTTCGTTGGATTTCTTCTTTATTCATAACAGCTGTACTACTTTTGAAATTATAGTAAAAAATTAAACTTTACATTTAAAACGAGTATTTACAAATGAATATATATATCAAAATACAGCAAACAACTAACGACAAACAAAAAACAAAAGTTTGGAATTATGAATTCAGTTACTTTTGCACAGAATCCCCAACTGAAGAATGATAAAATTCCCAATACAGCTCGAAATTCCCCCAACAATTACCCACGCGTGCGCAGTAGTGATTGAAACATTTGCCATTTTTTAGAAGACATAGTAATACCATTGTCTAAGGAAGAGTACCCAAACGCCACTGCACCACAGCATATGCTGTGACTGCACACGCTTTAAATTTGTTCGTTTGTAATCTCATAGAGGACGCTTTAATATATAAAATTTTAAATTTGACAGTTTTGAAGAAAATCTGTTGAAATCTGTTTTTTCGTTAACCAACTGTCGCCCCCCCTTTACGAACGACAACTCTCAAAAGCCCAAAGGAACCAAGGACTGACAAGGTCTTAACCTTTAAATGTGTGATTTCTAACACGGGTTGGAAGATAGGAAGTGAAAATCGATTGTCCGGCCTTGTGTTTCGAACCATCGGATCCACAGCGGTCGATTGAGTGTGTCGAGCAAAGCACCAACGTCAACCCACCAGGCTACCGTCCTACCAAAATTATTATTTTCCAATTCATAACACAGAGTTTAGGACTATTTGATACTACTTACTGAAAAATGTACAAAACATCATTCAGATGAAGGTAAACTCATTTCAAACACAACTATATAATTGAATATTATTGAAGTTTTCATTCAATCTGAATCATTTCTGAAACGTGACAGGACAGTTACTGACCTAACAGAAAAAAAAAGTGAAAACTGAAAATACTCCGAGCCACCACAATTGATGGGTGAAGCATTTGGTAAACTTTTTGGAAACGAATTGCATATAAGATTTGATGACATTGACAAATGACAGTTAATTCCGAATTCTTCAAAACTCTTCAATATGTTTGATTTTCCAAGCAATATCGGATTTGTTATGGAATTGACCGATACTTGATAAAAATACAACACTTCATTGTTAGATTTCTACTGGACAGTTTACAAAACCGCAAGGAGTGTTTAGAATTCAAAGGATCTAAGAATGCTCTCAATTAACGGAATGAGTAAATAATAGTCATATGCCTCGAATTGTTTTTATATTGTACATGTCCATTTGGAGATTTTATGGAAATTTTCTCTTACGATTTTTAAAAATTGTTATCTATCTATTCAAATATTATTATGAAAACTACAGATTAAGTAGAATTTAGACAGTGTTAGAACGCTTGAGGAAACTATTGTAAAGCGAAATACGTGTTGCAGTTTTGTAAGATGTCCCATATGGACATCCCACAATGAAGTGTGACTTGAATAATAGGGAATTATTGAACACCGGCTTTTAAGGTAATGCCTTAATAAAGTTAAGCCTTATTTGAATAAAGCAAAACCTTAAATGTCAGGGTAGAAATTGAGTTATTGGAAGTCATTCTTTAAATTGACAGTTCTTAGGACAGCGACATTTTTATTACTATATTTCGTCCGAGCAGTCGTTTGCAAAAGTTATCAAAAAAATTTTTTTAGAAAATTTCTTTTTCGCAGTGTAAGACCCAGTAGAATACTGAAAATAGTAAATCTGAGAAAACTTTCAATATTTTACATTGCACTCTATCAAAAAAAAAGTCATAAATCAATCGATAAGAGTTCATATTTATACTGTGTGTCAACGATGAGGATTTTTTCATGCTGGCGTTCCTTATATCAATATAGAGTAAGAAGTTGTCCTCCGGGGGGGTAAAAGTAATCGGCGGTACTGGCGCCTCGGGGGGCGTGTCCCACGACTCCGCCCCCGTGCATTAGATTTACCCCTTCTCGTTGCTGCGGCCGGCTGGCCTCCCAGACCTGAGTCCCTGGGATTTCAGGACTCAGTTCTCGCCTGGGTGCAACGGGAGGTTGTGTTGCAAAATTCTTTGCATAATACACTAGCTTCTTGAAGTAGTAAGTCCCTTTCTGAACAATCCTCAATTCCTGATCTACAAAATATTAACGGATTTACTAACGTTAAATCTTGGTATAAATATTTAAATCCCTTGAGGGTTTAGGCGTAAGCAGAAAGTTCACTGAAATCTGCCATTTTTTCCTTACCTAACTTCATCAACCTCATCTTTCTTGATCCATATTTCAGTTATTAGTATCAGATGTTGTTTGATTGTTCTAATTGTGAAGGCCTTGCCAGTCGAAATTTGCATGTTCTGCTTTATCACCTCCCATCCTTCGGGATTTGATAGGGGATTTTGTCCTACAAATTCTCTTAATAGAGCCAAATCATCATTATAAGTAAAACTTAATCAGTTTTTTTTCGTGCTGTATTCTTGGCCAAGGCTTCGTATTGGCTCACTCATATTTTATAATTTAATCTTAAAGATTAAAAAAAAAGTTGATGTTGACAACCGTTTTTTGTGAGGTTAGGTTTGGCGAATAAGGGAAATAAGGAAACGTTAAATATTTACCGTATCTAGTCGTAAATAGGGGAAAGCAGTATTTTATTATGGTTTCCTTATTAAATTTTTTCTAGTGCGCATGCGTACCTCCCATTTTCGGAACGACCATAATAAGGCATTTACCTTATAGCGTTTCCAATAATTCCCTAATATCCGATTTCTCAAAATTTGAGGAATTCCTCAACAACTGATATCGTTGTTATCGCCAACATAAGGTTATGTCACAAAATGACATAACCTTGTTACGCACAAAATGACAACGGTCATAGAAAACACAACGTTGTCAATTTGTTCCATTTCGAATTTTCATTTTATGTTCTGTTGATTATTATTTAACTTTTCTATGGACTAATTGCTTTTGAGATTATTTTGGAATGTTGCTACTGCCAATGATTTCGGTATTTATATAAGGATTTCAGATTAAAACGAAAAAAGTAAATGGTTTTGATTGGTTTTTCTAAAAATAAGGATAGAATCATTAAGAACTTTCTTTTTTTTTCAAGATTATAGCGAAGTCGATATTTCCATTCAGATCATCCAGTCATTTATTACAGAACTGTATACTTTTACTAACACTAAAACACAAAAAATTACGGAAAATCATTCAACAATGAAGAAATTGATCAAATAAATAAATATTTTTTTTCAAAAACGTCACGGTACAGTTACATTATTCCATATATTAAGTTACAAAATACTATAGCACAGTTCAATCATGGGCAGTTATCGCATTTCTTTATTTTGTATCATTTAGAACAGATCTGTAATCGTCCCCAAACTATTTTAATTTTTTCAAACCCTACTCGGTTCTATTTTAGAATGAACATCTATTTAAGACTTGGGAATAGAACTTCCATTTCGCACTAGCGCACTAATGGAATTTTTCATTCGTGTATAGTACAGTTGTGGAATCCATTTGTTTTAATTAACTCATTTGTAATAATTTTTTATCTATAATTTCAATATTTTCAATAACAATAACAAACAAAACAACTAATGAAAAAACATCCCTCCATCTACAGAATCGTGAATAAATTCGTATTAGTTTTCCATTTGTGAGAATATTGTAGAACTGATATGAGTTTGCATCAATCCTGAACGGTTCTATGAAAGTTCGAAATTCAAAATCAAAATAAACCTAGAGAAATCAACATATCCATTGGCAGCACTGATAAAATATCAATTGAACATTACAGGAGAAATATGTGTTTCCATTGGCAGCACTGATAATTGAACATATTTTAACTGCCTCAGTTGACAATGCCACTTGATACTTGCATTTGAGTTATTAGAGTTTGGAGTGTTTCAGCTGGAATAATTATTTCAAGTATAGTGTGAAAATTATCAAATTTTAAATTTTCATATAGCGCAGTGTGACAGTCTCAACAATGAATAGACAAGAAATACAACGTAATATATTTTACTCAGACAGATATTATGATGATGAATATGAATACAGGTGAGTTGTTTACATTTTATTTCATATTTACCCCAAATATGTATGTATATTCTTTATTTCAGGCATGTTGTCCTTCCCAAAGAGATGGTTAAATTAGTGCCGAAAACGCATTTGATGACTGAGGATGAATGGAGAAGTATTGGGGTGCAACAAAGTAAGGGTTGGATACATTATATGACACACTCACCAGGTAAACAATTTTTTCTCAACCATTATTATTGAAGCTTTTTAAAGACCTTTCTCTAAACATTTTTCTTGTTCAACAAGTCAACTACAGTCTAGGATGACGTTAGTGTCATCTCATTTTCCAGATTAAATATTGCCCCTCTGACTGGATTTATAGATCAAGTAATGCAAATTGAATGAAATGCAATATGATTGATAAAAACATAAAATTACCTATTAAAATGCATACATTTATAAATGTCGCTTCGTAAACAGTAATAATTCTTATGCCTTTAAAATGAATAATTCCACCAGAAAAAACTGCTGAATCTTTCAACAGAGAATAATGGAAACATTGCAAGCTGTCTTCATCACTTGATGAATATTTTGTTATACATTGATTCAAATGATATGGTTTGATGTACGTCTCCCGTTCACCCCTCTTATCTCTTATTTTTCTCTCCTTTAGAAAAAATATTATGTAAATTCTACAATTTTAATATTTGATTTTCAATGGTTTCATATTAGAAAAAAGGTCATTCTACCCAAAAAACATCGAATTTACATGACCATCTGGATGATTTCATCAGATTGGTATGGCACAAATTGGGTTTGACTTGTTACAGTTATGCCATATTGCTAAAGCTTTTGAAACAGAATCTTGTGATTCACTTCATCAAATGATATTGTAGTTTGAAAATGTAGCTCCTGTCACTTTTACTGTTATTTGTATTAGTATAAACACCATGACATCAGTTTCTTTTCTATTCTGAAACAAAACGGAAGGCAATAAATTGATGGATGTAGCCGTTTTCTACGTGGTAGGAAATCATAATGAAGAAAAGAGAAATGGGACTTTCTATGTTTTTTTCCACTTTTATTTGTATTTATTGTCGTGTCACGAAGTGTTCTGGCGATGCATTGAATTTATTGTTCTGGCGATGCATTGAATTTATTGGAGCCTCTGGAGACACCCTACATTTTGTTTTATAAGAGAGAGGACATTGTTAGATCAAGATCTTCAGATGATGCGGTGCTGCAGGTTTTTCCGGGTTTTCCTGCAGCTGAAAAAGCAAATGCGCCACTGGAATCAGTGAAGTCGCCCCGGAGCGCTTAAACATTTTTCGAAGCGAAGACGAGGGCTTATATTTAGATTAAATGAACACACCTAAGGAGTCCCTACTAATATTGTTAATCATTTTCCATTTAGAATTTTCAATATATAGACAAATGAATAGGGTAGCCAACTCCAGAATAATCCTGTGCTCCAAATAAAATATTTTTTGATATACTGGTGTATATAATGAATTTTATTGAAAACTCATAAATTTTGAAACTGTTAGTTAGATAGGGTTGCTCAGACTCATCTAATCTACTTGTACACCAAACCGTTTGGTGTCGTGATAAACCTCCAGTAATACTCATATAATCTAATTGAAATGTATAATTTCACAAATTGACAAATAAAAGTCCCCCTAATATATCATGTGTATAAGTGAATACTTAAAAACATGTAAACTATTCAAATCACTAATTATTGATTTTGTTTCAGAACCACACATATTACTCTTCAGAAGGCCCATCACATCACCACCACCACCACAAGAAAACTAGTCTAGAAAATGAGAAAGATTTGTATATAATGTTTATATTGTATGTTAGTTTGGTGTGAGAGATTTTTTGGATTCCACAGTTATTGTTCCTTTCCAAATATCTTCTAAGATTCAATCAAAATTTCTACTGTCTTATAACCAAGGTGCAACAATCCCATTTTTGTTTCATCTCTACTTTTTTAACATGTAGGAGGGGGAGTACATCTAAATAATATGTATTTGGAATGGTTAAAATTTTTACTGTCCATTCATTGTACTGTATTAATAAAATATTAGCTCTTTGATACTTACCTTAACTAAATTAGAAATTTATTTGTATTCGTTAGTTTTTTGTAATTCTGTTAATGTCGAATTTATATTTACTGTTCCCTTATTAATCAGGAAATTTTTCAAACTACTTGTATTGAATAATAACTAAAAATATTCTTGTTTCAAAGCAACATGTTCATATAATTTTATGTAATTTTTTCATATTGAAATTATGAATGTCTTCGTACCATGGGTCAACAATTAGAACAATATTGACAAGCAACAATGAATTAATTTATTTCAAATAATTCAAATCAAAATTAAGTTAAATTGATACTACTGATTCAAGAATTTTTCCCAGTTAAATAAGGTAGAGATGTCTTTTTGTAGTAATCATCATTTAGGAGTTATTTAGTGAAACATATTTAGTAGAATTTAATAACACTGACCAAACCTCACTCCATAATATGCCAACAGGAATGAAATGTCTTGCTTATTGAAGCAGGCGGATACAAATACTTAGTTGATATGTTTCTGTGTCCTCGTTTTTACTTACTTTTATAAATAAAATATTTTGTTATAAATTACGGTTGCTTTTGCTTTATCAAAACTACTAGTTTATATGACTGAAATGTGCCGCAGGATAAATCACATTTTCATGTGAAATTCACATGAAAAAGTGTTACAGTTCCTGTAAGAGGAAAAAATGTGATTATGTGTATACTTGCATTCAACATGAAAAAAGAGAGAAATATGTACTTTTGACATTTTCAGTAATTAATTCAACAACATTCTGAATCATTGACTTATTTATTTATTTATTTACGGCAATGCCTATTCTTTACAAGATGATTAACAAGTTCCCACATATGTATTTAATACTAATATAAGCTAGGTTTAAGGAAAATATATATAAAATAAAAAAATCGTAAAAATAATGAATTACAATCTTTTCACAGTCTTTTAAAATGTTTCCAAAGAAAAATTAAAAAATTCTAAATCTACAATATATGTATTTGCAAGTCTCAAAATTCTACCTACAGATTCATTCCGGCCATAGTTGGTACGACAAAAGGGGTTCTTTGAAGATATCCGAATTTCTTGTTCTCCTTGCATTCACATTCAAAGTTATAAGTTCGACAAGTTCTGGTGAATTGATGCTACCATTGATTATTTTATGAATTAAGGTCTGCTTCTAATCTTCTATGAGCCAGAGTATTCAAGTTAAGAATGTCCAATATAATTTTATAGTCATATTCACCAATATGATATCCCAGTTTATATGCAGAGTACCTTAAAAACTTATTTTGAACACTTTCAAGCATATCAATATCCACAAGATCATGATATGAAGGGCACAAAATTGTGGAATTGTATTCGATTATTGATCTAACAATTGAAAAATATATGATTTTTATTGAAGTGAGAGATAATTCATTTGCAGATCTGCGAATGAAACCTAACATTTTTAACGCTTTAGAAGTAATATTTGCAATATGGGGTTTAAATGACATTTTTGGGTCGAGAGTGATTCCTAAATATCTGATCCTGTTTGTTGTTTTCAGTTCTGATTGGTTGATTTAATATGGCCAGTTAATAGGATTTTTGTTTTGGAAAAAAGTAAATTTTTGACATTTGTCTATATTTAATTGCAGTAGATTTATATCACACCAGCGAACAAAGTTAGATAATCGTACTGTAATAATTTTGTATCAATTGAGTCATGAATAACTTTAATCATCTTCAGGTCATCAGCAAACAAAAGGAATTCACTATAAAGAATAACATCTTTCTCAAGTCATTGACAAACAAGTTGAAAAGCAATGACCCTAAATGAGAACCCTGTGGTACACCCGATGAAACTGATTGAGGAAGATACTGAGTTACCATATTTTACAAATTGTACTCTGCAGGCTAGATAACTTTCAATCCATTTTAGAATGTTTTCTTGAATACCCAAAGCAACAACAAATTGTGGTTTACTCGGTCAAATGCCTTTGAAAAATCTGTAAATAGAATCCACCTGGTGTCTATTTTCGAAGGCGTTTGTTATACAGTGTTGATAAATTAGCAGATTTGTGCTGGAAGATCTACCACTACTGAATCCATGTTGTTGATTAATGATTATATGTCTACAATCCCATGTTAGCTTTTTTGTAATTAGGCTGTCTAACAATTTGGGTAATTCTGATCGATTACAGACTGTTTCATAATTTTATATATCATTATATGATCCACTTTTATAAATAGGTTTTAAAAAACTGTTTTTCCAATAATCTGGAAAGATCGACGATTTCAAAGAAAAATTGAATAGCATGTGAATTGGTTTGACCAAGGTAAAAATACATTTTTTGATTAGGAATAGCGGAATTCCATCTGGACCTGTAGACAATTTCCCAGGTAATGACATGACTAGATCGATTATTTCCTTAATATCAACGCTATAACTACATATATCAACCATCTTACTAAATTTATATTCTGGAATTTGGTTAACTGTTTCATCACAAAGATTTACAATATCATCACTATTTTCACTCTCTTTTTTCTTTTGATTTAATCAACTTGTTTGCATCTTCTACACTGGTAAAAATAACTTTCAACGCAGGGTTACCACTTTTATTCTTCTGTCCAACTCTGAATATCTGTTAAATATGTAAATCCTCATGAGTTATTTCTTTAACTATTTCCTTAACAGTATTCAAGTCTGAGTTGTAAGAATTACCTTCTGCTAGATTGAATATCATAACATTGTTCATTCTTTTTTTCTCTTGTATATTTCATTTATGACTGTTTCTTCGGGAAAAGATGTACCTACATGTTTTTTTTTGAATTTTTGATTTCAGTTCTTCAACCTCAGAAAGCAACTCATCAATCTTCTTGATTAAATTGGGTACTAATCTTACCCCTGTGAGACAATCATCACAATAAAACTTACCTATGTGAAGTTGGCTGCCAGACCCAGCTGCTAAATTTTCCGAACTCTACCGAACGACCAGTGGCGTGTATCCGTATTATCAGCGAAATGAATATTGTCAAATTAATCACTCCTAAAAAATATAACCCCTTCAATTCAAATCTCTTTCTGCTTTTCCATTTTGTTCATGAGCATGAGGAGCTGAGGTCCCGTACAAAATACCTTTTTCTCGAAAGAAATTTAGCATTATCTCATTTACACACTCAGTTCCGTTATCGAATCGAAATATTTTTATGACATTTCCGGTCTGTCGTTTTGTCAGGACTTCAAATTCGATAAATATTTCAAAAACTTCTGATTTATGTTTTAGAAAATATACCTTTCGGAAACCAGTGCAGTCGTCCTTGAATAAAAGAAAATATCTTGATCCACTAGGAGATACTATATTTAATGGACCGAAAACATCCGCATGAATAAATTCTCCTGGGTTTTTTACATTGGGGCGTTGTGATTTGACAAAACTTCTATTTTGCTTTCCAAACTTGCAACCTTCACAAAAGAAATCAGATTCATCTTCAAGACTTGCCCCTTCAACTGCACCACTATTTATTGTGTCTTGCACATACTTCAGGTTGACGTGCCCCATTTGTTCATGCCAAAGTTTGAGACTATTACTTGGTAATACACTGCATTCAATTTCGTCGAATTTCATGTGCACCTTGAACATATTACCGCGTCTCAAACCCACACAGGATAGTTCACCAGCAGCATTGCGAAATTCACATCTGTCTCTTTGAGCAGTCATAACGAAACCTTTGTCAGTTATTTTTCCGACAGATAACAAATTTCTCCTCAGTTCTGGTATGAATAGGATGTCTGCGATTACCTTGTCCTTCCAAACACCATTAATATTTGCTTTCAAGTTAATAGGGAATTATTGAACACCGGCTTTTAAGGTAATGCCTTAATAAAGTTAAGCCTTATTTGAATAAAGCAAAACCTTAAATGTCAGGGTAGAAATTGAGTTATTGGAAGTCATTCTTTAAATTGATAGTTCTTAGGACAGCGACATTTTTATATCTAACCTAAAAAAAAAACTACTTGTCTTTGCTGTTCAAATTTCAGTGATATTTTATTGTAATTTTGATAGCGGTTTAGAAGAGTATGGAAAATATTTTGGAAGACGTAATTTTGGGCGGTGGTGCCGATGAAGATATTGAATTTGCTATAATGAATAATATTTTAATTGACAGAGATGAGGAAGGCCAAGGTCCTCCTTTCGAGTTGGAAAACCTGAGTGATGAGGAAGTAGTTAAAAACTTTAGATTCCAAAGGGGACATCTTCAAAGAATTAAAAATGTTTTTTTAATTCCTGATGAGGTTGTCACGGAGGCTGGTGATCGTGTCAATGGTAGGTTTTATTGTTGCCGGCTCCACACATTGAGCCCAATGTGCCTTTGTCACAGTGTACTTATATATATAAACGTTGGACGACGTTTGTGCTTGGCGTGTTATAGTCAAGTTGGTTCCAAGATGCCCAATATGTGAAGCTGGTGTTAAGCAGAAGTACATTTTTTTGTTAACAAAAAAATACATTTAAAAATATTTATGTTTCAGGATTAAAAGCATTGTGCATAGTACTAAAGAGGTTAGCCTATCCAAGTAGACTTATTAACCTAAAAACCTTTTTCAATATGTCTGCGCAATCATTGTCTCAAGTAATCCGGACAACAGTAGATATAATGATTGCCCAAAAAGGGGACCTTTTGTTGGACTTAAACCTTCTATAGTGGTTAGACAGGCAAAAACTGGAATCATATGCTCAAGTATATTGATGGATCTGATGATTATTAAAGCATTCCACAATAATTTTAGAATGCTTTAATAATAATCGGATTCAAATTGTTTGATACAAATCAAATCTATTTTTTACTTTATTACAATATTTGCCTTTTTTTAGCTTTATTCAGAAGTATAGTAGAACTGTAGTAGTACTATAGTAGCACTGTAGTAGGTAATTTAGGTATCTTTATTATTTTAGGCAATTCTTGCAAAGGGGGCAGCTATAAACAACTGCTGGGGATTCATTGATGGAACTGCCCGTGCAATATGTCGTCCTTCCATTAACCAGGAAGAATACTATTCTGGACACAAAAAGTTTCATTGCCTCAAATATCAAAGTGTGCTTTGTCCAGATGGCATAATCACAAGTTTAATGGGAGCATTTCCTGGACGTAGGCATGATGCAGGCATATTTAGGTATTGTTGGTACTATAAGTAATTTATTAGTCTGAACACTATATTTTTTTTAGGGAGAGCAATTTGTACCAGCAACTGGAAGAGAAAGTAGTGTTTGGTGAAAACGATAAATTTGTTTTGTTTGGTGACCAGGGATATGGCCTTATGGAATTACTTATCACCCCTTTTCCAGGACAGCCAAATCTGTTGCCACCTCAACAATTACAATTTAATAATTCGATGAAAACTCTTCGAGTTGCAGTTGAATGGGGTTTTTCGAAAATTATACAACAATTTGCATTTATAGATTGAAAAAAAATTAAAAACTATTAATGCAGGACTTGCAGTCCCTATATGAGGTCTCTGTATTATTAACAAATGCACACACATGTTTATACGGTTGTCAAACAGCAGACTACTTTAATCTGCAACCCCCAAATTTAGAGGAATATTTTGGATAGTTTTTTGTAATAATTGTTGAAATTAAAAAAAAAATATTATTTATTATATCAGTCTTTTATTGAAGTCAACAATTATATATTGGACAAGATTTTACAAAAGTAACATTCCTAAACCTACAAAAAACATAACATTGTTACAAAAGTCAGTCTTAGACAGTCAACAAAAATATATTAGACTCTAATTTATAATTATTAAATCGACAAAAGTAACATTCCTATTCTTACAAAAACCTAATATTTTTACAAAACTTTCTTTAAATCACATTTTTTTCAAATCACAACTTTATACTCTAAAAATATTAATCATTTTTGGTTTCAATCGAAGGAAGGTCAAAAAATATACAAAACCAACAGATATTATCTATCAAAATTAACCTTATTGCACTTTTGTGCAAGAGTATCTATCAGTTTTTGCAATATGTTAAAAGTAACTTCTTTTTCTTTTTTTTCTCCATCCATTCGCTGTTTCCGTTCTTCATTTTCAAGTTCTAATTTTTGTTTTTCTAATTTTAGCTTTTCTTCATTAAGATTAATTTGTCTTTCTTGTAAAGCAATTTTTCGCTCTTCTAGTTCTAATTCTTTTTTTCTTATGGCATAGTCTCTCTCCTGTTTTTGAGATAAATATGTCAAGGCATTTCTTCTAATAGGCTGTCTTTTAATTCGCGTCCTCGAAGGGCCTAACATGTTAATTGAGTTTACAATTTTTTTAGACTAAAATTGCGATTTTACAAACAATAAGGATGAGTTTATCAAACAAAATTATTATTTTGAAAACAAAAAATACAAATATACGATCTGTATTTTTGTATTTTATTGTGACCCCATTTGCACATTATAAAAGAATGAAACAATAGTCAAACTAGGTACTGCTTACCTAGTACACTACTTTTTTGGTCTGTAGACGGTGTTTTAAATATTGGAGTGGCAGTTGATTCCAGACACCCTCGAGTCTTTTTAGGACTTATGACCTCCAAGGTCCTTTTATCACAACTATTGTAACTCAAAGAATTTTTCTTCAATGTATTTGTATTGTTAATTTGGTGACTTGACGGCTCCAGCCCAATGTCAACACAGCTAGCTGAAATAAATAGAACAATAATCTAAGGTATTTTCTTCTATTTGCCAAGAGGTATACAAACATCACTATTTTTGAATTTGAGTAACACTTACCATAATCATGATCATAAAAAAAGATTTCATTTTCTTGGTCACATGTTATAATTTCTTGTAAAACAAATTTGCCATTGTCTTGATTTTGGTTACATACTTGTTTGGTGGGTGTGGAGGCATTTTCATTTATATGTTCCATTTGATCCAGGTAACTGTTTCTCACTTTTTTGCCTAACTGCGATAATTGTAAGTCTCTTGGAGTTTTTTTCTTTTGCCTGTCTAGGCCTACAAAGTTAAATTCTTTGCATAATACACTAGCTTCTTGAAGTAGTAAGTCCCTTTCTGAACAATCCTCAATTCCTGATCTACAAAATATTAACGGATTTACTAACGTTAAATCTTGGTATAAATATTTAAATCCCTTGAGGGTTCAGGCGTAAGCAGAAAGTTCACTGAAATCTCCCATTTTTTCCTTATCTAACTTTATCAACCTCATCTTTCTTGATCCATATTTCAATTATTAGTATCAGATGTTGTTTGATTGTTCTAATTGTGAAGGCGTTGCCAGTCGAAATTTGCATGTTCTGCTTTATTACCTCCCATCCTTCGGGATTTGATAGGGGATTTTGTCCTACAAATTCTCTTAATAGAGCCAAATCATCATTATAAGTAAACCTTAATCTGTTTTTTTTCGTGCTGTATTCTTGGCCAAGGCTTCGTATTGGCCCACTCATATTTTATAATTTAAACTTAAAGATTAAAAAAAAGTTGATGTTGACAACCGTTTTTTGTGAGGTTAGGTTTGGCGAATAAGGGAAATAAGGAAACGTTAAATACTTACCGTATCTAGTCGTAAATAGGGGAAAGCAGTATTTTATTATGGTTTCCTTATTAAATTTTTTCTAGTGTGCATGCGTACCTCCCATTTTCGGAACGACCATAATAAGGCATTTACCTTATAGCGTTTCCAATAATTCCCTAATATCACCAACAGCTGTCACTTTTACGAGTTTATTGTCTGCAACTCGAACAGAAATTTCATCTGAAACTGTTTTCAGGTTGTGAAACCATTCTTTTCTAAATGACATATGTGCACTTGCGCCAGTATCAGCCAACCATATGTCTTCTTTATTTTCTTCATTCTCAACCCAATCTTCTATATTAGTTGGTAGATCACGAATGAGAACTTTTTTGGAAAGTTCGCTTATTGATTCATTTTTGGAATGGGATTTATCAAATTTCTTTTTTTTCGGCTCGGATACTTTCTCCACCAATGACCTAACTGCTTGCAACATCCGCATTTCGTTTTCTATTTCAATTCTTGGATGTTTGATTTTCTAGTTGAATTTTTCGGATTTTGACATATTTTAATGGACTGAATTTGGAGAGCTCCTTTTCCAGAAGTCTAGCTATAAGATCTGGGAGAGTTTGTTTACTGGAATCAACTGAATCCCATGCAGTCACTAGCATTGCAAATTTGTGTGGAAGGCTATTGATGATTTTTGAAATAACAACAACATCTGATATATCTTCACCCATATCTTTCAACTGCTTTACTATGGATTCAACTTCGGTAATGAAATTGGCAATACTTTGAGTTTTGGACATATTGAGCTCTTAGAATTTCTGATACATCATATGTTTTGATACTTCAGTCTTTTGCTCCTGTACCATAATCAGTGTCTTCCACATCTCATCGGCAGTTTGGCAGTTAACTAGACAATTTAACTGATCTTCATTGATAGATGATAGAAATATAACCATAGCTTGGTTATTTTTCTTCTCCCATTTCTTTACTTCATCAGCATTTGAGGTACTTAAGGCAGGTTTTTTTTCGGTTACTATATCCATCAACTCATTGGCTCTCAACACAATGGAAACACTGAATTTCCACAACTGAAAATTGGTACCATCGAACTTCACAGTTCTTGCAGTCTCAGTTTGAGCCATGTTCAGCAATTAAGTTGTCAATGTCAGAATAATAATGCAGCTTATTATTTTCGTTGAAAATGCAGCAAATACTTCATACTTTCTTCAGATATGCAGAGCAAGGTACTCTGGGCCCATAACCTGTTGTAGAAACTAAATCAACACAGAGTACTTTTTATATGAAAGATAAAGTTGTAGGCGAATTTCATCTACAGCAAAAACATTAACTTTATTTTATAGCAACTATACATCTTTTTTTTTTAATCAATAGAACATAAGTAAACAAGGACAAAACATAATCACTTAATGAAATCTAATTCAACAAAGACTAAGCGTCAAAAGGTTGGACCTTGAGCTTGAGGATGCTCTGAATTCACTAATTTTAAATGCGCAATTGCAAAATTTTCTCGCGTGAATATGAAGACCTCAATAAAAACAACCCGCTTCACCGTAAAAGCTAAATTATATCTTTAAATCCTTTTATAAATAACAAACTATTACGGGTAGGAGGTCGTTTAAGAAATGCCAATCAATCATTTGACAAAAAATTTTCAATTATTTTGCCAACTAATCATATTTTAACTGAGCGTATTTTAAGATATGAACATGAGTCGATGGCAGACAGAATATCTGTCTGAACTACAAACTCGTGTGAAGTGGAAACAGAGAGCCCCCGAACCATTAAAGGTGGGAACGGTAGGGCTAGTGAGAGAAAAAAACACACCTTGCTGTTATTGGCCTTTAGGACGTGTAACTGAGCTGCTTCCTGTTGCGGACGGTATTCTAAGGGTAGTGAAATTGAAAGTACGCAATTCAATTATAATGCGTGCGGTGCATTTCCCATTTGAACTTTGAAAAACAATTTTGAATTCACGAATGTTTATTTGTATATTATTGATTCAGATTAAAAAATAAGGTTGATTTTGTGAATGTTCAATTTCTTGTTAAATACATGTTTATTTTTGAAAGTATATAATACTTTCAAGGCGGGCGGCATGTTAAGACATCCTGCAGTTATTTAATACGTGGTAACCTTGTAAATTGTTTCAAGAGTTAGAGGAGCCGCTTTTACCGCCCTCTAGGCGGAAAGAGGACCAAATGATGTTCGAGAATGGTGTGAACGATGCACGCCATATTTGTTTGTAAAAAGGAATAAATAAAAATATTTTCAGAAAATACATACAGTCCATTATTACCAGCTACAACACCAAGTTCAACACTTCCTCAAAACTGTACGCTAGTCGTAAAATAGTTGCTAGTGGAGCTCATAAGATTTGCATTCATCATCATTTGATATGCTATGTGAAAGAATGACGTTGTTATGAGTTACTCCCAAATCCTCAACAATTTTTTTCCGCACATAGTTGATGAAATTTTCCACACATGTTATGGTTGAAATAAAGCCTCATTTTATATTGAATTATACTTGTTTGTTATTATTCCACTCTATTATTCTATTGAAAACTTTTTTATTGCATCATGCACTCCCGCACGGTTTGTATATGCCCAAATATTTGCAAGACGGCTGCAAGAGGCAGGCACTTAGAATACTCAATATATGACGGTGAATCATCAATGAATAGTAAGAACAATAAAAGTAACAGATTGGAACCTTGAGGAACTCCGAAATTTGCATGAAACTTCCCAGATATATCTCCATTGTATTTCACGATGGAAATATATTTTCTAATTTGTAGGCTTAGAAATTTTTGATAGCGGTAGTACATAGAAAGGATAACGAAAGAATTGATATTTGGATGTTTGAAGTCATCAAATCCGAAAGTTTTGATATTTTTCAGAATGTGTAGAACTTCTTTTCGTGAAGAAGAAAATTCTTTGTATAACAATCTGATTGAAGTTTGTATAATAAAATAATGGTTTATTGTCAGGTAAATAGTTACCGTTCAATTCATTGACAAGAAGTTCAGTCTACTCTTCAGGTTTTAAAAACAATACGAAAGTTGAATATTTCATATGTTAGTTCATATGTTCCTAAGAATATTTCCATTTGGATGAACATTTGGAGAGTTTGGAATCCATATAACCCAAAATATCAAGTTAGGACAAAATTTATGTGGAAAGTATAATTTTTATTACTTTTTGATGAAAAAGACAATAGTGCTACTGAAATGGTGCTACCAAGTTATTTTTGAATAGGAATGGATTGTTGTTATAACTCTTTTTACAGGTGTTTCAATTCACTATCCAATACTTTTTCTTCACTGGAAATCAAATAAGCCGTTCCCGAGCAAACGAACAAACTATAAATATTGTTGCAAGATGACGACCTATGGCGGTCAAGGACTCTACCTTAGTCTAGAGGCGTGTGCGACGGCGTAATGTCACTGTAATCAAAAGAAAGCGTGCGAAATGGGACAATTTTGGTGATGGTAACTGTTAATAAGACAGTTGTTAGTATCACCTGATTGAGGAAGGATCCCATGTACAACTTCAGGAAAATAAACCTGGTGTTTCCCTGGACAACCTCCAACACCCAAAGTCATAACAATATCATAATTAGAATAGCCCACTACATTATCTTATATGACACCCTTGGATTTTTGTGAGGATTGGTGAAATCTGAAGTTTAAGTTTTCGGCAGTTTTCTCCAATAAGAATGGATGCTCCTAAAGAAATCACCCCAGAAACATTTCATAATCATTTTGTGAAAAAACTGCATTTTTGTCGTGTGACGAATTCAAACATCTACTGGAATGAATCGTTTGTTTTTTCTATCAAAAGGTACTAAAAATAATATTTTTTTATATGTGAACTTCGTCGGATTTTGATATGTTGTTTCATTCGAAAGTAAAGACGTGTATGATCCATTGATAATTTGGTTTGGAAATTTCCATATTCTGCAACACGAAATGGTACGGAATTGCAGAATGGTATTAGAAAACATTCAGTTTGTCCAAGAACTAACCCACATCTCAAAAAGGAAACCACCACCTGAATATTCACAATACAACCGAGGTAAGTTTTTCGTGCAGGACAATTATTAATAATTGTTACATATCAAAACTATTCGATATTAACTGTCTCTCGATCCAATTTCAGCTATTCAGTAACTGAATATCGCTACGGCACTGCATCCCAGTCTGTTCCTGCATCCGACTGTTTTCATTTTAAATTGCAATACGCCACTGCACAGGAATAATTTATCTGGTTCTCCAGTCCAGCGAATCTCTGCGTATTATTCTTGGTTTAACGAGTTTAGCGTCAGGTTTCAGACAGTGAGTCAGTTCATGTTATTGTGTTGTTGTTTTCAGTGGGAAGATAGTAGGTATTTATTACTTTCGCATATTGACAAAAATAAGTACACAAAACATCATGACCAAAAATAAATATGCCGGTCGATATATGGATATAGTCTTAGACTGTTCCTGGATTTTTCTAGAAGAAAGATTTTCAATAAACTTGATATTTATCCAATTAAGCAAATAGAAACGACCTTGACTTATTTTGAGAATATTTAATTGTGAATCCATCGCAATGTGATATTCACTAGCATTTTTTCCAGTCCTTATATCACAATTCTGGAGTTCAGTGATATTGGCAAGAAAGAAGGTTCGTTTCCTTTACTACATTGTACATACATATTTTTTCTTTGTACCGCTCGCTACCACTTTTCTTTCAATATGCAAATGTTTTTTAGAGAAGCTTGTCTTGCGAGTAGTTTTATTGATGATCTCCCTTGCTTCAGAAATAACCATTTTCATTTTATTTTTGACTTTCTTCAAGAACACTCCTCGAGTGGTTATCAAAGAAGCCGAAGAAAAGTCATACTCAATATTTTATATTATGCTGGAGAGATATTGACTTTTCTCTAGAGGACACGATACTTCTCAAAGTTTTAGCTATTTCTTTTGTTCTAACCACTTTGAAGATCTCAATATCACAAATTGAAGGGAAAATACAACATTTTTGGAATAAATCAGGATCTTAGGAAAAAGTAAAGAGATTAAATGAAAAGATGATGGCATTTTAGTAGTTTCGAGGTTTTCTATTCCATGAATTGTTGGATGTAGCCGTTACTATGTGGTAGAAAAGCATAATTAAGAAAAGAGAAGTGAAACTTTTATGTAAATAGAAATAAAAGTGGTTAAAAACATAAAAAGTTTCAATTCTCTTTTCTTCGTTTTCTATTCCTCTTAGTACTTTGACTATTCAAAAAATAATTTGAATTTTCAAATGTCGGGGGCTACATACATTCGATTAGCAACTTTTTCATATCGGTACACTCGTCTTGAACATATGTTCACAATTTCAACTGTGTAGTATGTTTAGTTTGTTAGTAAGAGGCGTGAAAGTTAGAAGTGCTAAACCTGTTCGGGAATTTTCTATCGAAAATAATTGATCAAAGAATTTGCATAATTTTTTTTGTAAAGAACACTTGCAATGTAAACAGTGGCATTCGTTTATTGTACTCTGAGTTAGAAAAATGTTTTTCACAGAAGGTCGAGAAGATGAGATATCCCAAACTTAACCACACAACTAAACTCAATTTCATAAACTTTATTTTCAAAATATAGAGAATATAATGGAATTCACTTGTAGTAGGTATGTCATTAACTACGAAAAAGCTAATGTGATAGCGAGACTTGTTTAAGTGATTTATTTTGAATATGAAGTTTGTGAAGTTCAAATGATGAGGTGTAGTTTATGAAATTACTATGGATCTTCATCAAGTAACAACCAAATTAATCAACAAAAAGCGAGAAGATGTGAATGATGACTCGCGTCCTGGACGCCTCAGTATAACCGATGAAAATGTTGAGAAAGTGAAAAAAACTTTTAATGTCGAATCACTATTAGAGTAGGGTATATGGAATCATGGGTACATATATGGTTATGGCATTGAAACCAAAGTCCAATCGTCCCAATGGAAGAGCCCAGGAGAGCCAAGGTGAAGAAAAGCACATTTGACCGAATTTAAAAATTTTGCTGTTTTCTTCGATTATCGTTCTGTAGTACACCAGAAGTTATTGCCACATGATCGTACGGTCAATGATGAGTATTCTTTCGTCTCATTGACAATGCACCTGCTCACTCGTCATCGCTTGTTCGTAATTCTTTGGCCAAAAACAAAACCGCAATCATGGATCAGCCACCGTATTCACCAGATTTGTCCCCTGCGACTTTTTTCTGTTTCCAAGATTGATGAGACTCGTGAAAGGACGGCATTTTCCGACGATTGAGAGAGCTCAAGGACAAATCAAAAAAGAGTATCAAAACTGATTCTAGGATTAGAAAAAACGCTGGCACAAGTGAACTATATCTTAGTGGGACTACTTTCGAAGAGACAAAATATAAATAGGTGACTGAATAAATATTGTTTGAGAAAAATGAAAATTCACCCTGTTTTTTGAATAGACTACGTATATACACTAAACGTCAACAACTTCTATGATTACTAACATTCATATGTAATTTCTTCAATCATCCTTCGTGTCAGATGATGAATTATATCATAAAAATAGAAAATATATTTGTAGTTATTAATAGACACAAAATCGACATGCTATATTTGCAATGTCTGGTATGTAAATATCAGAAATCCACTTTGTTGAGCCTAAAATTACATGAAAAAGTTAAGTATATTATAAATCACAAAAAAAATTCGAAATATGTACAATTTACATTCTCAAATGAGAGTCAGAATACCTACTTCACTGCAAATACCCAGTGGAAGGTTATGAATTGCATATGTCAAATATTTGTGACAGACTAATAGGCCAACTTCTCAGGGGACTATTTTTGTCTTATTCATCTCAATACAAGGCGAATCGTACTAGAAAATCATTGGAGTCTTTTCAGATTGACTTCACGGCCAATGGGGAATGTTCCTCAATTTGGGTTATTACAGCAAATGAAAGTTTGAACAAAATAAAGTTGAGTTTAATTCATGAGTTTTTCAAATTCCCTTCTAATTCAAATTGATGTTTCAAATGTTGGGTTCCAATTTTCAAAGGAATTTGTTTCTAATTCACATATTGGCAACAGCGCCTATATCAAGTTGAAATAATTTATATGTACCTGGATATTCTACTTTAAAAAAGAAAAATCACCTATATAGACCAACAATTAAGGCAAAATATAAATTATAGTTCAATGCCACCTCCACAAGCCACATAAACAACAGTTGTTTTGTTACTTATTTATATAGAGGAAGATAGGTTAGGTGCACAAAATGTCATATGTCACAGAATGTCTCGGAACTCGGAACATGAGTAAACAGAACAACACGCCTCTGAAATATGTCATCTTTATTTGTCTTATAGAGGTAACAGATTTATTGTCCTTTATTAGCTATAACCGATGTTGCCAAATGGTGAAATAGAAACGAATCCCTTTAAATATTGAATGCATTATTTCATTTTTAAGTATTTAAATATTTTTTTAAAGAAAAACGTTGATATGATGAGTTTAGAATGCGTTGTTTTAGAGCTCTTTTATGAAAATTACTTGATTTTCGTCAGGAGAAACATTCCCCATTTTCGCTGAACAACCTTTGTCTGGGAAAAACAATCTTTTACGCTCAAATATTCTCAACTTCATCCCGTAAACCTGTCTCGTTTATTTCTTAGTAATTTCGATTTCATGTCATAGTAATTCATTCAACAGACAATTGAACTTAATTATTAGGTTTTCTCAAGAGTTTTGTCCGTTTCAGCATAAAAATTGTGTGCTCGTAATTCGATGAAGTCAACAAACACTATTTTTGCCTGGTCTCAGTTGGCCAAGGTTCTACCGGTGAGAAAGTCATCTGAGTAATTAAATAGATAGCAAAGTCGCTTGGCGAGAGGTCTGGGAATTATGATGGGTGAGGCAGAACTTCGGCGCTATTTTGTCAAATGTCCGGACTGGCGTTGTCGAGGAGAAGAATCTGCCCATTTCTTTCGACCACTGTCGGTTGCTGCCGAAGCTGATTTTTGGTATATTTGGTCGAAAATCCATCAACGACATTATATAGAGTTAACCTGAAAAGCAGAATACAAAATTTGCAAATGAATGAACAGCATCAACGTATAGAATACTGAATTCTCTATCGATCAGTTTATGTGCACGACTCAGTAGAGTTGTGGAGCTTCAAAGACACATGACATTAAAACGGAAAGAACTTTTGAAAAAACGTAATATACTAAGTGACAAAGGAAGGTAAACACGCATTTATATTGAAACTATTTCAATTATGTTTTGCATATGTATTTAGGTTGAGGCTAGTAATGAGCCAGTAAAATTTCAGCCGTATCGAAAGCTACTCTGACCAGTTTTTCAACTATTTTTTTTTGTGTGAGCATTTACCGTTTCTCCAATGTTTAGTCTTATTCGTGCTTTAACAGTTGAAGAGTTCATTGTTGAGTGTTTCGTATAGTTAATACTAAGCCTCGAGTGCGAAGACTTTGTCGTATTCCTCAAATCAGTGATTTTAAGAGAAGATGAATTATTGACTGTCGTGAGGCAGGTTTTTCAGTTAGAGAAATTTCAAAAAGTACACAGAGATCAATCGATCTTTGTGTACAATTCTAAGATGTCATCAGGCATGGACCCTAGAAGGCTAAGAACACAGAGATAGGGGCACTGGTCTTCGCAGGGAAACAACATTGCAACAGGCTCTTAGGTAGGTATCGGTTCATTTTTTCTAGGGAAATTGCGAATCAGTGGTTTGAAGAACACTGAAGGGTTGTTGGAATACGGACAGTATATCGACGAATATGAAGTTTCGGACTTTTTTTTTATCATCCCAATTGAGTGTTGCCGCTGACTCTCGAGCATCGACGCAACCGATTGCACTGATGATGAGACAGAATAAATTGTGATCAACAGTGGAACCGCGTAGTCTGCAGCTATGAATCTCGCTTTTGTTTGGGTTTGCACGATGGACGAGCAAGAGTAAGAAGGTGTCGTGGTGAAAGACGAGATCCCCAGTTTAATGTGGAGAGGCTTGTTCACCATGCTGTTGGTTTGATAGTATGGGATGCCATTGCATATGGTAGTGAGACACTTTCAGTCTTTATCAGAGGCAACATGACATCTCTTCGTTACATTCACGAAGTAGAGCCTCGTGTCCTTCCATATCTTGAGACCATCGAGAACTCCATATTGCAGCAAGACAACGCTAGGTCCCATGCGGCTAGAGTAACTATAGACTTCATGGATCAGCATGATATTAACCGCTTACCATGGCCACCCAGACTGCTGAATTTACAATAGCCCCCACAGATTTTGGCACCACCTAGACATAAGTTAGAAATAGGGTGGAATGAAATACCCCAACAGGATCTGTATCTGTAGATAGAGTGAGTGTAAACTCACAGCAACTAGGCCACATATGACCCATTGTGCATCCTCCCGAGGAGTTATCCTCCTAGGTCATCGTCCATCCTGTCCTTTCCAGGAAGGTGAACAGGCCACTAGGAGACATCTCCTTAATATTAGCAGGTGTAGGCCAAAACTCGCAAAACACACACTCTCTTTGAAAACCTTGAGGTGTCTCACTGTTGCCTCCGCCAAGGTTTTGGAAGGTGCAGCGATATTACTGTCGTTGCGCGGCTTTTTCAACTTTCTTGGGGTTCCCTTCGTGGTGGTGCACAAGTGAGGCACCTCTGGCAGAGCCCCGTATTACCAGAGATAGGCTGATTACAATGAGGTTTCGCCCAGTTTCCCAAGGGGATCGTTCGTGACCTCAAGTCACCTTGCGGCGCATTCAGCTGTAGGCACCATTTCTTAACTAAGCTTGGGTAGGCTGGTCCACGGTGGCATGTTTTGTAAAGTCTTTTGAGAAGTCTCAGTTCCCCTCACCCTACTTATTTCTGCCACTGACCAGGAGTCCAGCGACCCCCTTTGTAAGGCCACATTGGCTTCCCGGACAGAGCCTCCAGTCCCCTGGCCGTTCTCCTATCCGCCACCTGTGGACGCGCCCGATAGGTAGCCCAACCCATAGAATCCCAACAGGATATAGACTACCTTATCAGGACAATGCATAGGCAAAACCACGAGTGTATAAGTCTTCGAGGATATGCAACACACTACTGCACTAGTTTCACGATCATCCAATTTTTCTGAAAACTTACTCGTTTGTTTGTTATTATCTGTCGAATATGTGAGTAGAAAATTATTAAAGTTATTAAAATATTTTCAATATAAGTGGGTATTTACCTTTCTTCATCACTTAGTAACACATGGATCAATAAGTCCCGAGACTAACAATGAAAACAACATTTTTTTTACAAATTTTTTTTTATTCATCAACATAATCTCCTTTTAGGGTGATACAATGGTTCCAACGCTTTTCCAATTTTTCAATACCATGTTTATAAAAAAATGTATCTTTCGCTTCAAAATAAGTTTCAGTTTCAGCGATGACCTCCTCATTTGAGCCAAATCTTTTTCCCTGGAGCATTTTTTTAAGATCAGCAAACAGCCAGTAGTCACTGGGGGATAAATCTGGTGAGTATGGGGGGTGGGGAAGCAGATCAAAGCCCAATTCGTTTAATTTTGCCATTGTTTTCATCGACCTGTGGCAAGGTGCATTATCTTGGTGAAAAAGGATTTTTTTCTCTGCATGTGCGGTCGTTTTTTTGCGATTTCCTCCTTCAAACGTACCAGTAAGTCAATATAATAATCACTGTTGATCGATTTACCTTTTTCGAGGTAGTCAATGAAAATCACGCCATGCGCATCCCAAAAAACTGACGCCATCACTTTGCCAGCTGACTGCTGCGTTTTCGGACGTTTCGGACGGCTTTCGCCAGCTGTGCGCCACTCAGATGACTGCCGCTTTGACTCTGGAGTGTAGTGATGTATCCATGTTTCGTCCATGGTCACGTAACGACGCAAGAAATCTTTTTTGTTGCGAGTAAATAGCGATAAACAGCTTTCTGAATCATCGACTCGTTGCTGTTTTTGTTCCATCGAAAGCAATCGCGGCACCCACTTAGAAAAAACCTTTTTCATGCTCAATTTTTCATGAAGGATAGTAAATACACTTCCATATGATATCTGTGTCATCTCAGCAATCTCACGGAGCTTCACTTTACGATCTTTCATTACAATTTTTGTCACTTCACTCACATTTTCCGGTGTAACAGCTTCCACAGGTCTATCCGAGCGTTCTGCGTCATTTGTGTCGGTACGACCACGTTTAAACTCGGCAAACCACCGACAAATCGTTGCTTTTGATGGACAAGAGTCCGGATAACATTTTTCAATCCATTCTTTCGCTTGCACGGTGTTTTTACCCATCATCATCAAGCAAAGGTTAGTACTCTAGAAAGACGTGGTTACTGGTTTACTAAGAGCGCCATCTCTGGGTTAGTCTCGGGACTTATTGATCCATGTAGTATATAAAGTCAAAACTGAAACTGAATCTTAAATTAGGAAAAAGTGTACTATGAAGTACAAATAAAGCACAATCAACTTTTTGTTGAGAAAAAAAAAATTACATTTGTTGAAGTCATATACTTACTTTCATTTTCATAGTGATTTCACTTCACAAATGATTTTTTATATTATTCTGCCAATTTTCAAGGGAACTTTATTCGCCCTCATTTCATTTTTAGGATAGTTGACTTAGTCTGAAATTATTAAATAAAGAAATGAGGATATAAAATGTCAAATATCAGATTGGGTATGTCGGATATATTCCAACGCCCTTCGTGGTATTAGCCAGGGGAGTAGTTGTTTTCTGATAGGCGTCAGTCCATTTAACCTAGTGTGTAGGTTTATTCAAGACTGGCTTGAGCGTTTAAAGTTAATTTCTTTAGATTTGTTTACTGCCAGTCTTCAAGCATATCCCACTGACTAATAAGGAAGTTTTTCTTCCTTATTCAGAGGAATCGGGTATATTTCGGATATTCAATTGGTTAGTACCTCGTCCATTAGATGAAGTGACATTTTGTTGTTCGCTCCAACTCAGAAAGAGGAATGAAATACTCTGAAAGAATTCCGATTTTCAATTATGGAATATCATTGAGTTTAGGTCGATGATGGCTACTAGCTTGCACTGATGAGTGGTTAATGAGCCCGAAACCGGTCTGCAAATGTGCCCGGTCCAAAATTGAAGGTCGTTTCTTTTTTCATTTGAGGTTATAACTAATATCATTAACTGCTCTCAGTTGTTACATATGTTGAATTTTTGGGTTCCTAGAAGGTCATCTATAGGAATTATAATTAGGAAATTTCCAATTCATACAATGTGCGATACCTCTAATTCTGTAAGACGTGTTCTGGATATACTCAACTGCCAGATTGTACAAATCAAAAGACATTTCCTAACTAACTGACATTTTTGTTTTTCATTCAATATTATTTTATAAAGATTCACAAATTATATTATGTAGGTACAAATTTGTAAATGACACCGTTTTTTCCTATTCTTTGGATTGGGTTTATATTGTGGAAGAGTGTATGAAATGAATGAATAAATAAATAGATAAATATGGAGGAACAATAAACTTCCACTGGATGTATTTTTGAACAGTAAAAAATATGCGTTGCTTTCAGTTATGTACCTGATGAAGTTTTTTTCAATACCGTAACTTTCTGTACTCAAAGAGTACGTATAAAAACTATGAACAGAAGCATTTACTTTTGTCATTTCGTGTTGAAAAAAAAATTGTGCTTGCTGAATAGAGGACACGCAAATAAAAAAACAGTGTTTCTGTTGATGGAATTTACTTAACTGATACATTTTGTGAAGTAGAATTGGATATTTTTTGGCATTTTCCATCGAACGTTTTTTCTTGGGTGTCAACAGCATTGACTACTTTAGTCATCAGTGTCGTGTTCTGGGTAGGCACTGTTCGCAGTCCGTCAGCCATGTAACTTTGAAGAATCATCCTAACTTCATCTAGATATTCGGTTGTTTCAAAAGTTTTGTCCTTCCTAACGTCATGTGTTTTTGTAGCTCAATATCTCAATAAATATTCATTCTAGTGTGTCGTGGAATACACTGAATACTCTATGCATTGATGCTGTTATTTTTTTTTAATTTTTACTTTATGTCTCTTTCAGCTTGTTACTATATAATGTCTTCAAGGCGATTTTTGGCTGATTTTTCTCAACGAATTCTCTACGATGCCGAAACAGACCCAAACATCCACCAGCCATTGGCTATAATAGTATCGGTGAACGCACTGTTCGTTCAAAGTTGGTTTGGTTTGCAAAATTTCGTTATTTTTGCCTCGAAAATGATATTGTAGGGTTTTTCCTACAACTATTTAGTTCAGAAACATTTCATTTCGTTATTGATTTTTATTTTTGTATTATCATTGAAAGACTCTCGTATCTTGAACCAAAAATGTATTGCCGAAAAACATATGGATATTTAGATCGACAGGCACCACTACTTGGGATGTTTCGAGTAGGTATAGTCGAAGTAACCAATATAGTAATCTTAAAGGTGTCGACGAAGTCAAAGGTCAAAAAAAACCAATACAGAGGAATTATGCCGCAACGAATTAGTTCACGTGGACTGAAGAATTGGCGGTTCGTATTGGATAATTTTCATTAATCGAGTTTTATGATTGGCTGAAGAGTCATAAAATTAAATTTGAAATCATGTTACGATGACCAATAGAATGTAGCGATGAGTACCGCCGTTGTGTCGTCAATGTTCAGTTCAGAAACTGATCGCGATTTGAGTGTTGGAATTCGATATTGGTGAAGTTATAATTACTTAAAATTTTTGTTATTTGTTCAAAATGTGGCGTCCTTGGACAATTACTAATAGTAATAACGACGAAACTTGGTATGACACTCACGACACAGTTACGAAAGTGTGGACTGATGGTTCGAAAATGTGTACGCCTAACATGTCTGCAAACAAAGGATCGCGACTCATTGTGCATTGCGGAGAAAGTAAAGGATGGATCCCGAATTCTTTGAAATTATGTGGAAAAAACTTGAGGAGGACTGCAATAATGACTATCATAAGAACATGGAAGCTAATATTTTTGAGGAATGGTTTGAAACCACATTGATCCCAAATTTGGATGCGAATAGTGTACTAGTTCTTGACAACACTTCCTATCATTCGCGACAGCTCATCAAAGTACCGAATAAAAATTCGAGGAAAGTTGAAATACAAAGTTTTTTAATGGATAACAATTTGTATTTTGAAGATAACTATACCAAAAACCAACTACTTGAAGTTTTACAGACAAAAACATTTGAAAAAGTGTATGCCCTTGAGAGTATTGCTGAAAAGTATGGACACACCATATTGAGACTTCCCCCCTATTTTTGTGTTTTCAATCCCATCGAGTTGATTTGGGGAAAATTGAAACAAAGCATCAAGCGTAAAAATAATTTTCCAAAATTTGATAAGAAGGCGATAGAGCTAGTTAAAGAAGAAGTATCTAATATTACCGAAAAAGATTGGCAGAAAATGATTAAAAAAGTAACTTTAGTTGAAAAAGACTATATGGAGATTGGACACTTATATCAATGGTGGTAATGAATTCATTATTGATTTAAATGACGACAGTGATAGTGAAACGGAGAATATGGAAAAGAAACTATCAGAAGCTTTCGAAAAAAGTTAGTGGAGTGTTTTTAAAGCGATCGATTTCATACATATATATGTGAGTAATTAGTTACGTCTCAGTTCTGCATCACTTAACATATTTCCCAGACCTCTCACCAACCGACAATACCATCTCTTCAAACATTGACATAACTTTCTCACCAGTAGAACCTTTGCCATCAGGACGAGGCAAAAAACGGCCTTCGTCCCGAGCACACTACTTTTATGCTGACGGAATTCATTGACTCGTATTATGTTGGCAAAAGTGCACTGATTGAAAAGGCGCTTACTATAACTAAATACAATAAGTTTTTACAGATATATCACAGTACGAAGTTGACTCATAGTAACGGAGAATAATTTTGAATAACCTTATACATTCTCTTGAGAAAAATATCTAGCTGTAGGGGTCGAACTCACGGCCGTTCGATCGTGAGTCGTTGGCAGTACCATTGCCCAAATTCACCTCTTTGTCGAACGTATTGTTGGCATTTCAAAGCTTCATATTCTGCAATGGAGTTCCTTCTATCTAGCCCTTGACCCGTATTCCCATTTGAAAGAATATGAGAGATGATACATCACTTGGAAAGTTCAAAAATATATTGTTTCAAAGGTGCAAAACCGTGTTTTTGAATTCTGGGGCACCCAAATTTGAGGACGAAACACCGTCAGCACTTTTGAAAGATTCCAAACAGGATTCAAATTGCAAAGCAGGATTCACTGTAGACTGTGATGTGTTATTCGAAGGCCAGCGTGTTGTTATACCTACATCTTCACAAGCAGCAGCATCCTCTGTATCTGCTCAGCCAAACCCTTCAAGAGCACCATTGTACTCTTGGATGAAACCAGAAAATAATTGGCAGCGAATACATATCGACTATGCAGGACCGATTCAGAATCATTTTCTAGTTGTTATCGACGCAAAATCCAAATGGGCTGAGATTGTTCCGTGTACATCAGCTCCAACTTCTTCATCTTCAATAGAGATACTCCAAGATATATTTGCTCATAATGGATTTTCCGATCTTATGCTTTCCGATAATGCAACTATATTCAACAGTAAAAATCTCAAGAAGTTAATCCGTCTTTTTCACACCTGAAGTAGAAGTTACTCATGAAGATCAATCAAAACAGCGTAAAATAACTGATTTGGTGACGATTCCAGTGCAAGATGAATAAGCCAATTAACCCGATAATATTCAAAATGAGGTATTTGAACCAAATCAAATTGAAGTACCTGATGATCAAATACCTCATCCACCAACTAACATAACAGAGTTGAGCCCGTCTCGTGAAAGTTACTCGTCGCACCGTAAATGAAAATGGCTTGAATTTTTTCTTCCAATGTACGAGAATTGACCATTTCAGAGATTGTTGACGTGGTACCTTTCCACTAGTTAAACCGAAAACTAAATGAGGATATTCTAACTGAACAATGATGTTCATTGTCGAACTGGCAATATTTATCGTTTTTATAAACAAAAAATAATTTAACAAAAGCTTATCGTGTTGTTGGAATTGTCATATGGTGGATAAAAAGGAATATTTCTAGAAATATTAATATTAACGTGTTTGTCTTCAGGAAATTACTGAATATTCCGCCATTTTGTAGTAGATGAAGATATTGACTTCATATTCTAGGGTTGTGAAGTATTCGTCAGAAGCTTCAAAATGATGTGTCACAAGCCCCCCCTTCCATTTAATTTTTTTCCCAGATGGATTAATTTCACTTCAAAATAAACTATTCATGCATTAAATCCATTTTCTCAAATTTCAATTTTTTGAGTTGTCCCGTTCAAAAAATAAAAGGGGGGCATTAAAGAAATACACTGTATAACATTCACTCTATTGATATTATTGAAACTCCTAGTGTTTAAAAAACATTAGTGATATTCTTTCAAAGCAGTTTTGTCCTGTATAGGAATACAGTTCAATCTTCATCAGTACAGACTATTAGTGGTGATATAAACACTCTATTCAGTTCTCATTACATTCTGGATAATTTTATCATTTTCAGAAAACGATGCTGCTGTTATTGATAGGGCTGCTGGTTGTAGCCATTTTGGTCTATTTCTCTCTGGTGAAACCGCTCAGTTATTGGAAGAAAAAAGGAGTTGAACAGGAAAATTTCCTCAAAGCTTTTTGGTTCAACTGGTTTGGTATTTGCGGCAGACAAAGTTTGGTTTCTTATGTGCAAAACATGTATTACCAATTTCCAAACAGAAGGTGAGGGAAAATTTTTGATCTATTTCAATAACTGAACTCAGTAATTCAACTAAAAAAATTAAAGAAGCCTAGGAAAGTTGGAATGTACGTTGACTATTCCAACAATTATTCATTCACCTGAAATAAGTAGAAATGGGAAAAAAATATAAAAACATAAATGAAAATAGATATTTTCATAATTATTCAAATGTTTTTTTTCCTATATCAAAAATCGACCTATTTTTCTTATTTTCATAACAGATTATATACTATTTTTGAGTTTATCAGTATCCATATTCAATTATATTTTATGCTTCAGATACAGTGGCGTTTATCAACTCAACGTTCCAGTTTTGGTTCTCAAAGATCCAGAATTGATGAAACTTGTACTGATCAAAGATTTTGATCATTTTACAGACCGAAGAACATATATTCCAGATGATGTTGATCCATTGTGGGCTAATAGCCTATTTTCTCTCAAAGGTAAACAAACATTCACGTCTCATATAAGAAATAGATGTCGGTGTATTTTCAATTTTTGTTATTTCTATGAAATTTATCAAAGTGACTGTCTATTTTTATTTCGAATTTGAAACTACATCCACTTTCAAGAAAAGTTGTATTATGAAACAATCCCCATAAAGCTATAAATCAAATATTGTTGAGAACTACATTGCCTTGCAGTGAAAAGCAAAGGACGTATTCCGTTTGGTGGTTTACGTCGAAGCTTGGCTTTGTAACGCCGCCGTTACTCTCGAAGCAACGCATAAAGCCAGAGACACACTTCGCGATTTCCGAGCGGTTTTTTCCAGCGCTGTTTCCGAGCAAAAATTGGTTAGTAAAAATCGTTACAGTGTTCTCACAGTGTCCGCGATTTTCGAGCTATTTCCTGGCAGTCTGGATTTCTGACTGAAGGCGGAATATCCCCTTGTCGTCCTCTAGTATCGTTGTCGCTTTGGAATCAAAAGGCGCTCTTGCTGGAAGACGCCATCCATGGAGGTACAACGTGAAACGAAAAGGAAATCAGGTAGAAAGGTTTTCTACCACCCTCCTTGCTTTGTTTTTTTTAGGCAGAACACAAGCACTCTTAGAACGGTTCCTGTTCGAAAGTAGCGATTCACATTGAATTTGAATCGCTGGGGAATAAATTCATTTGGAAAAACGTTTTCAGGAAGTTCATTCCACATAAACGCCGTTCTCTAAATGGAAGAAATCTCAAACAGTGAAGTTCGAGGTGTACTGAATTGAACTTCGAAGCGATGAGCAGCCACAGTTCGTCGCGTATTTATCATATGTATCTCTCTTGGTGGAATCAAATGTGTCATGTCACTTGAAGACTTTCTGTGAAAGTATCTATAGAAGAGAGACAAATCTTCAACCTTTCTTTGGTGTTCCAGACCATCAAGGTTGCAAGTGATGTTCGCGTCCAATCAGGCGAATAATTCTTTTCTGGGTGGAATTTAGCAGTTACAGGGTATGTTTGAGAGCGGAGCTCCATACATGAGAATATTACCCAAAAAAAAGAAGGTCTGATCTGAGCTTTATGAATCATCAAAAGTTGCTGAGGTGAGTACAGTTTTCTGGAATTGTGGATTCTAGTGTGGAAATATAGAGTGGTGCCTTTCCCAGAAAATAGACTGTAAAGTGGGATGCAAATTGTTCAGCTAGAAGATTTGCTTTTTCTATGGCTGTCGCAGTTGAACCATCCGCTTGTGTCGGTGGTAGAATTGTGGATTTTGTAAAGTTCTGATCAACAGATTTAGCTACCGCTCAAAAGGATCTGAACCCGTTGAGATTGGCAAGCATTTTATCCCTAATTATCTGATTGTGATGTTTTTCGCTTTCATTCGTCATGAGTTTGCAGCTGTTGCGAGCATTAAGAAACCTAGTTCGGTTTTCGTCACTGTGATTTTTGCGCCACTGCTGGTGGGCGAGATTTCTGGAGGCGACAGCCAGCTCTCAAGTTTTGTTGAACCAAGGTTTGCCGTTCGAAAGTCGTTTCATTGAAAAATTAATATATGCATCCATGAATGATAGAATAATTTCCGTGACTTTTGGAGCACAAGTTTATGAATCTTTAGAGCTCAAACAAACATCTAGCCAGAAAAAAATCTGTAAATGGTCTTGAAGATCCTCCTATTCGGCTGATCTGAAATGCCAAACTTTGCGCGGCTTAGAATATTTCCTAACAATAAATTGATGGATGTAGCCGTTACTGTGTGTTAGGAAATCATAATGTAGAAAAGAGAATTGAAACTTTCTTTGTTTTTCACCACTTTTATTTGTAACTAACGTTACTGCAGTTTCGTCCTATGAGGACATTTTCAAATTTACACAATAAACTGTTTGAAAATGTCCTCATGGGATGAAACTGCAGTAACGTTAGTTACAAATAGAAGTGGTAGAAAACATAGAAAGTTTCAATTATCTTTTCTTCATTATTCCCTAACATTTGTCGGTAATTCACTCAACACTGAAATGAGTTTGTGATAAGAAGATTCCAATGGAGACCTTAAATTTCTGAATTGGTTGTTAGTACGAATTCAGAAGACTAGCATATTCTCCATCCGGGTCAGAAATCCTGGTTGACTCATTTGTAATCTTAGTGAGTCGTTGCTATTTGAAAATTTGAGCCATTCGATATTGTGGACATTGAAGTCACCGAATATGAGAATTTCGGCACTGGGATGATTGATTTGCAAAAATTTAATGGTGTTCGCAAGTGAAGAGAATAGTTCCCTATATTCGCTTGATGGTCGATAAACTCAACAAATGAATTGGGTGATCTTCTGTGACATTATTTTAAAACACATAACATCAAAGTTACGGGGTTCCAGTATTTCCTCTCGTTGACAGGAGAGATTGCTTTCGAAAGAGATATTTCAAATTTACGTCTGAATCGGGAAATCATAGCTGTGATATAGAAAATTGATGGAGTTTGTTGAAGCACTGACTTTGGTTTCTGTGAGTGGAAGAGTATGAGGATTATTTGATTGAAGATGTTGGTGCACTGAGTTTATATTTGAGTTGAGTCCTCTGATGTTGCAGAAATCGATTTTCAAGTTGCTAATGGTCCTATTTTCAACTGCAGTTACCATGCTATTTCCCTGTAGACTGATATTAGAAAGACCGTGCTGACTCTCAGAAATAGTGGTTTTCGAATAACTTCTGCAGGATGATGCCCTTGAATCACCTCCCACCCGGAGATCCGATTGGAGAGCTCTTTCACCTCCGGAAAATTTTGACTTCAGGAGAGCCATCATGCATTTTTTCTAATATTCCCACCCTTGAAATCGGAAACAGCGGTACAGTAATGAAAAATGTTAGAGCTAAAGCAACTTCACGCTGCTTGAGCCGTTGCGATGGTTTATCACCGAGCGATGCCGGGTGGGACCAGCATCTACTATTTATATCTCTTTCCAGTTCATTGGCAGAATCGGGGTCGCTTCTGTCCCACAAAAAAGGGTAATTTTCTACGCTATGAAAGTAGTTTCCACTTCCATGCTCGAATCTCAACTAAAAAACCGCTCGAAAATAGCCAATACTGTCGGATCCCATTCGGTAACCTAGGTTCTACTTCTACATGGTCGAACTTGCCTTACGAAGTTCGGAATCCGACAGCTGGTCGGCTGTAAGACATCGCCGCTGTTGAAAATCGCAAACTCTGTCATGTTCCATTTAATGAAACACTTGAAAGCGCACTGGAAAAAGCCGCTCGGAAATCGCGAAGTATGTCACTGGCCTAAGGCTATCCCTTAAAGCGGAATTACATTATTGCTTTGTGTTCACATTCACCATTGTGTCCTGATTCACCATAAGTATATCGTATCCATTAATTTCATATAGTTAGGATTATATTACAAAAGTGCAAATTTGACATCTTAAAATCATGATGAAAACTTTCTTCGTCCACCTCTAGTTCTTCCACTAGTAAATGATATTCGCCTTCAACTCTCAGTAAAGTCAACATTAACAGACACTTAACATTTTCTTCAGTATCACTATTCGAGTCCCATGAAAATACTGTAGATGGACGCATGTGGACACATGATAATTCCGCCTCATACGTCCACTCAAAGAGTCTGGTGGCATTGCGGTTATTGTGTTCTTTTATATGGATATTAAAATGGACACCAATATGTCTTGGCACAATCGTAACGCTAGAATTGCGAAGGGTGATTCTCGAAAGCATGGGATACTCTTACGAACTAGAAAACTGTGCATACATCAGCAACTATTGATGCTCAATGAAGCTCAGATCAAACCTTCTTTGAAGTAGTGTTTTCATGTATGGAGCTCCGCCCCTAAGCATACCCTGAAGCTGCTGGATTCCATCCAGAAAAGAGCCATCCGCCTGATTGGGGAGGCGAATTTAGCTTGCAACCTTGACAGTCTGCAATATTGAAGAAAGGTTGGAGATGTGTCACTCTTCTGATTATGTGGGATAAACTTTCTGAAAACATTTTTTCAATTGGATTTGCTCTCCAGTGAATCAAATCCAATATGAGTCGCTACTTTCGCATAGGTACCTTGATGATTTTCCTGTAGGGCACTAATTTTAGTCTCATTCACTTATCACTCTAATAATGAATGATCCATCAGTAGACCGTTGTGAATTAGGAATTGAGGTACAAATAAAAGAATATACGGATTACCGATTCAGGGTCATAACAGACACATATACGGGGTGTTTATCAAACATTCAGACTATTCTGATGATATTTTGATATTCTAAGGATATTTTTTCTTTTGATGATTTTTGAAAGGGCGCTTTGTTTTGAAGATACGAGGCGGAAACAAATATCAACAATGACAATTTTGGTACTTTTAAAATTATTACCGTAACCGAAATAAATATATCGCGTACTAAACTGAACCTACCAAGTAACAAAAAATCTAACGATTCCGTTGGTACCTATCAACAACATTCCGACTACTACAAACGGCTGCAGACATTCAACTTGAATTGTATGTCTCGTAAGTGATCATTTGTATGGGTCTAATATAGGTTGAAACTGATTAACTTTGTCTGTTTGACGTACATTTTCTATGTTTGATATTTGAAGTTTTGTTAGTGAAGTCGTCTATAATGAATGGCTATAGTAACTCAGAGATGGCTGAAATGCATTTCATTTATGGACTTGCTGATGGTAATTCATTGAAAGCTAGGCGGTTGTACAGTGAACGATTTCCTAATCGTAATATGCCTAATAGAGATACCTTTCAAAATATACATCAACGACTTCGTGAAACAGGAGCATTGAAACGAAAGGGAGGATTTGAAAGGCCAGGTACTCGAAAAATTGCATATACTTCAAATGTAAGTAACGGGACAATTTGGAACACTCTTAGACACTATTTGTTGTACCCATACCACACACAACGATTTCAGGCACTGCTTCCTGCAGATTTACTTCAACGAATTGCATTCTGCTAATAGCTTTTGCGCACAATGGTTCAAATCCCCCAACTACTGACCTCAGTTTTTGAAGGATGTACCATTGGTTACAAGAAATGCAATGTGGTCTATGCACGATGGGTGCACCAGCGCATTTTACCATATTGGCTCGAGAGTTTTTACCAGTAACATACAGAGATCGTTGGATTGGTCGGGGTGGACCTCACTTGTGGCCTGTTCGATCACCGGACTTAAATCACCTGGATTATTTTCTATGCAGCCAGCTGAAGTAGTTAGTTCGTACTACTCCATTGAAAAATGTGGAAGATTTGACAAACCTGATAATTGCTGGGTGTAACGCAATCAGACACGAGCTTGGTGATTTTAAAAGAGTTCTGGAGTCGACATGGAGAAGATTGGATTCTTGCATCCGGGTGGGGTCGAGGGTGGTAGTCATTTTCAACAGTTCTTGTAGATTAAGAAACATTACATGTAATTTAATTTTTGGTAATAAATTGTTATTGTCGAAATTATTTTTCGCTCCGTATCTTCTAAACAAAGCGCCCTATCAAAAATCATCAAAATGTCCACAGAATAGTCCAAGGAATGGTCCCTTGAATTTTTCCGGATGCTTATTGAGCACCCTGTATAATACGTCTGTTGGCCAATTCTCGTAATGGGCGGAGGTCGGTTCTGAAGGCATCCTCATTATTATTATAAGGAGTAGATTGCAATGCATTTTATTCAGTGAAATGTTTTTTGATTTTTTGTCATCGTTTCATATGATCTAAGGAATGCATACCAATTGGTTTGAGTTTTCGTGAATAGAGCCATATTTGTATCATTTTGGAGTCAAACTAATTTTCAGCTGATAATGCCATATCTTTTGTGAGAAAGAACTAATCTTACCAAACTAATTTTTCTCATTCTTGAGCTACGTTTAACGGATATTCAAAGTTTTAGTAGGTTCCCTTTATTTTGATAACAGTGAGAATACATATTTTACATTTAATGGTAGCACATAAATTGAAATATATGCTTTTTTCAATGCTAAATAAAACTGATTGAATTTGGAAAAATTGTTTTCGATTTGTATCCCATGCTTATATTTTATTTGATTCCACCTTGGTATTGTAATATTACTTATGATGTACTGTTCGGAACCTTTGGTGTAGTAATGAATATTACTGGAGTTTTTCCCAACACCAAATCGTTCTTTTTACACCTCGACACATGTTTCGATCACCAAGTGATCATCTTCAAGAGGAAGATAAAACCAGTTTTATCTTCAAGATCATCTTCAAGAGAAAGATAAAATCAGTTTTATCTTCCTCTTGAAGATGATCACTTGGTGATCAAAACACGGGTCGAGGTGTAAAAAGAACTCCAGTAATATTCATTTTGATTTTGGTCAAAAAAATCAGTTGGTTGCTCATACGAAAAATACGACTCAACCACTCCTGCCACAAAAACAACGATATATTATGACGTTTCTATATTTTTAAGGTTCTAAATGGCGTAACATGAGATCAACCTTGAGTCCGGCTTTCACCAGCAGCAAAATGAAGGGAATGTTCATATTGATGAAGAAATGTGCCGAAAATTTCATCGATCACTTTTCAAAACAAGATGAAAATATCATTCCCGTTGATTTGAAAGATATTTTCAGTCGGTTTTGTAATGATGCTATAGCGACGACAGCTTTTGGTGTTGAGGTAGACTCATTGGCAAATCCTGATAACTTATTCTACAAGATGGGTCAGAAAGCTACAAATTTCAATTCGTTCAAAAAATCCTTTCAAGCTTTTGGATATTTGGTCTGTCCGAGGTTATATAAGGTAATTTTTCCAATATCTGATCAATAAACCACCAGAATGAAAATAGAATTTACGATCATTAGAAAAAAGTTCTTTCCCGAGAAAATCCTACTGTGCTAATGCTACAATGCATTTCATACAACAGTAATTACAGAATTTCAGTTATCGATTATTCTGGGTAGTCACTGATTATTTCTAGAAAAATAGGTAGATTTTAAAAAAAACAGGGTTAACGATTTGTTGTTGTTCAATTTGGAAGATAAATTTATTAGTCCTTTGTGCTACATCATGTAGATAGGACAGGTCATATTTCCCAGGTATAATATAAATTTGTTATATTATAAGATGCCATTTGAATGAAAAAATAACGTGACAAACATTGTAAAATAAACACATACATATTAAAATATAAGTAAAAAATAGAAATTGATAAATAAACATGTGACGATATATACGTCGCAATGACAGTGATCTGACATTACCAGCTTCAAATATAAATTCATCTATTGTGTAGAAACCATTTTCTAATAGAAACACTTTCAACTGTTTTCTAAAAACTTGAGGTGGCATTGTCTTCATATCGCATGACAGTATATTAAAGAGACGGATACCAGCAAACATAGGAGACTTTTTGAAATTTACGTTATGGTGTTTTTTGGTGACGATCATAAATATGGTTAATCCTAGTATGATAATTATGGACTTCCGATCTCAACTCTAGTTGTCTTCTATTGTCATGGATATACGCCAATGTTTTTAGAATGAATAAATAGGCAACTGTTGGTATTTTATTTTAACGAAAAATCTCTTTACATCATGACGTTGTGTAATCTAGATTGAAAATTACCCTCAGTAATGCTTTCTGTTTTGTGAAAATTCTGCCCACCTCAGTTGCTAAACCCCAGACGACAATTTTGTTGTAAATAATGGACTGACTGAAACTTAGCGAAATAAACTGATATCAGTGCTTTAGTATCTAATTTATTCTTGAGGGATTTAATGAGACAATACGATTGATTAAATTTCTTGGATGTGAACTCTATATGTTCTTGCCAAGTGAAATGTGAGTCCATTTTTGTTCCTAAAAATTTTGTTGAGCTTATTAATTCCAAGGATTAATTTCGGAAAATGAAATTGAAATCATGTAGGATCCGATATGAATTTTCAAATTCCATACAGACAGTTTTTCTCAGGTTAACTATAAGTCTATTCATGTAACACCAGTCATCAAATTCGTCTAGAACTGATTTTAGAAGTTTGTTTGAAGGTGGTTGACAATGTTTCGGGGTGTATTTGATCAGTTCAGACTTCCATCGTTTAATATAATATAAATTGATTTTGATTTGAAATCCCTGAAAAAAATGAAAGATTAACCGAAAATAACAATTTTATTAGAACAAAAAACTGAAATTTGAAGGAAATAACATACAAGCTACAACCAGAAAATAAAAAATTGAAATAATAATAAAAGCTGAAAATTAAAAAAATATTATTAACAAAAATGAAAAATTGAAATTGAAAGATTCCAAACCGAATTACGTCACGATGTTCCGATTGTTAGTATCCACAATCGTCTTGGGGTAATAACTGGACTTATTTCTCCGAGATCTGACTATTTATATGTAATTCGGGTGCTGTCACCTTTCACCTATCCCCTCTTTCCTCTTTCCGCTTCATAGGTTTTAACGGGAGATGACCGTTTGGCGGGAGTTGGTCGTTTTTCGCTTGATAAGAGGTTACGTTACGTATCTGTACGTTAGCTTTATTAAATGCGCTGTTGGACAACATATACGCGGCTTTCTTGAATTTTCTCCTAAACCAGTGTTCCTCTTTGTGGATGATTTCAGCTTGAGCCCACTTTATATTATGTTGATGAGTCCTCGCTGTGTGTGTTTCTTGTGCTCAGCAATGCCAACTTTCAATGGCCTCTCAGTTTCACCGATGTATGATTCTCCGCACTCGCAGGGTATCCAGTAAATGCAATTCTTGGAATCGCAGTCTGCGTTTGGTGACCTGGTTTTTGTGAGGCTGCTACGGATATTGTCCCCAGATCTGAAGCAGGTCCTGATGTTATACTTGGACCCAATCCTTCTCATCCTTTCCGATAATCCTCCAATGTAGGGGAGTACAAGTACTGGTTGTGGCGGCTTCTCTTCCTTGTGGAGCACATGCTGTGTTCTAGCTAAAGCCTGTACTACCATCACTCTGGAGTAACCATTCCGTTTAAGGTCATTTTTGATGATGCCTATTTCTTTTTCGAGACCTTCCTTTGTATTACAGAGCTCGAAAGCACGGTCTAGTAGAGTATTGATGATTCCTCTCTTAGTCGATTGATGATGTTTGAATTTCTGGTTCAGATACTGTCCTGTGTGAGTGGGTTTTCGATATACAGATATTTCCTATTTAGTGTCGGTCCTCTTCACCAATACGTCTGAGAAAGGCAATTCGTTGTGGACTTTCTTCTCCATTGTAAAAGTGATGGATGGACCTACGTTGTTGATGTGCTTCAGGAAAAAGTCTAGTTTTGCATTCCCATAGTTCCATATTATGAAGATGTCATCTACGTATCTCAACCAGACCCGGGGCTTCCTGTGGGCTTCTTTAATGGCCAGAGTTTCAAACCACAAACTATAATCGGTGAAAGTGGCGATCTCATTGGCAGTCCCCCATCTTGCGTAAAAAATTCGTCCTTCAGTTGAAAGTAGCAGTTTCGTACACAGCATCCTAGTAATTCCATGATTACTTGTATCGGTCTGTCATTATGTATGCTTCAGGCGTCTGGGAACAAGCGGCGAAATCTAATATCACCATTCTGGAGGTATTGCAAAACAAGATAATGAGGATGATTGTGAGTGCTCCTTGGTTCGTGCGGAATGAAGCCATCCGCAGAGATTTGCAGCTGCCTTCCATTCGGCAGTCCATTCAGTCGAGAAATCAGAGAGTTTTCGATGGTGCAGAAACTCATGAAACCCCATTAGTCAGGGAAACTATGGATTATGCTGTAGACGACCCCTCCCGATATAGAAGGCCCCGGCACTCTGTCGAATGAGGCCCCTATATCTTCCGTTGAAAGATGAACAACGTTTTTATCCAATTCACCCCAGCCAGGCAGGGGTACACCGTGAAGGGCGGTACTGATATCTGAGGACACTCATGCCGCCATACCATCAACACCCACATCAGTCATGACCCGTTTGTCCTTCTGGCAAACATCAGTTCAAAGGGTAAGGAAGCCAGGCTCCAACCTGACTAAATTCAAGATGACTTCCACCTGTGATGAACGTGGCTTAACTTCTATATCCTGAGTTGAATAATTGAATTTTTGTGCAGTTCAGTATAATAGGTAGGCAGATTTCGTTAATGCTCATACCTTCTTTCTTTGTTTTTTTTTATTTGAATTTATTTTTGGCTCATTTGAAATTTGGGTAAACAGTACCAAGAATGGAAGATAACTCAAATGAGTAGGTCAATCACAGGGGTATAAATAAACTGTTCTGATTTTTTGACCGATCAACATCATATCACAGATCCTTTGAACCCATTTCGTATTATCATTATCTCCAATATTTTATGAAAATTCGATTTTTTCAGCTTTTGAATCTGAAATTATACGACGACGATATTGCTGAGTTCTTCAGAAATCTCATCGATGAGACTATTGAAGCGAGGGAGAAACAAGGTATAATCAGACCTGACATGATAAATCTGTTGATGGAAGCTCGATCAGGAGTCGCAAAGAAAGACGAAAGTAATGTTGAGGATGCAGGATACGCCACTGTTGAAGAATCAGGTAATATTACTGATATACATTCAACCTTTCATTGTGTTGTTGTTGAAAATTGAATGAAAAATGAGCTAAAAGAAAGACAAACCATTAAAATGCAAAATGGAAAATGGGAAAATAAATATGTACGGTGAAGTACATATGTATATATGAATACAATACAAATAAATATCATGGTAATTAAATAATACTCATTTCAACTAAGTTATGAATCAGTTGTGTACAATTAATACATTTAATGAAAAGTACTCCTTCATGTGGTTATTCAATAATCATTGAAAAGTTTAATGAAATCACATTTCCTTCTATTATAGAAAGCAGATGTAGTAACATATCTAATAAATGAATGGAATAAAAGAGATGATTTGTTTGCAATATTGGTTTTTGTCGAATGAACTCGTGAGGCATTATTTTTGTTTGGCATCACTGAATTTTCTATTGAATGTCAAACATATTGTTTGAAAAATATAAGTCATTCAGTTTTTGCTTCGAATTGGTTCCGATTTTGATTAATTAAACACAACAATTTGAAAACAATCAGCAAAATCAAAAATCTGAAGACTTCCGTAGATTCAGCTATTTGTCTTGTAGGTGAAGCACGGTCTCAGTGTTTAGAGTTTGTAACCTTCCATGGCGTTAAAAATGCAGAGCTAATGGAAAAATACAATAACTTCCAAATAAATGTTATTACTTTTTCATGCAGCTCGAACAAAGCGCATTCCATGTTTTCAAAAATGAAATTGTCAATAGAAATAACATGAATTATTTTTCAAACGAAAGCCGGAGTATTCAAAAACAGAATTCGCTTAGACACGGTGTTGGATTCAGACAGAAATATATTTCAATGTTACAGCTATTCTCTCAGAACTTTCAAATAGCAGACTTGTGTTATAATGGTTCAAAATGCATTCCTGTGAGCATATAGTTATAAACATTCTACATCAGATTGATAAAAAAAATAAATTGATCAATTGAAATCAATTAGAGTTTCAAAATCATATGTTCGAAATATGATATACCCTTATTGAGGGTTGAAATAGTGTTTTGAATAATTACAGGCCAGTATCAATTGAAGGTATTATGCTCTTGCAATAAAGGATAGAATCTTGTGAATAGATCATTGGAATGTTACGCCTCCTCATGGATCTTTTAGTGGTTTATCAGTACCACCAAAAGAACTATGGGTACAAGGCTGAATTAACATCAGAGAATCTGTTGATTAGATCAAATAGAAAAATTGGCAGGAGCGGAACACGCGTTTAGTGAAGGAGATCATACGATACTGTTTGAAGATGTGAAACTACTTGCACCCAATCATGGATACCACAGTCGGCTTGTACGGGAAGCCATAGAAATCCATAAAAATACAAAAAACTACAACAGCGATAACGCCTAACCGGATTTGGAATCCTATACTGAAAGATGCTAAGGTGGCAGCAGTGCAACGCAATGTAACAGCCAACGGCCAATAACAACGCACCAACTAGAAAGGCGGGCTACCTGTGTCAACATAAATACAGCTTACGAACTAGAAATCACTAGTCATCGGTGAACCATCAGGATGAACAGACCTCTGAAGAAGCCAGCCACTCGTGCTGGCGAAAAGTTAGGATACAGTTCCAAACCACCACGGCCTTCAAACCCGAACGAAGATCGTAACACTGAAAATCTTGGCCGCGAAAGCCTTAACCAATTTATCAATATTTTTGTTGCTATTTTTTTAGTCAATTTTTCTCTACGAATTCAAATTGACCAAAGCCCTAAAAATCAACCAGGCATTTGGCAGTGATAATTTTAATGAACGCACTGTACGACGTTGCTTTGTGCAATTTCCTTTCAGATGAATTAGTCTCGAAGATGAGCCCCGAAGTGGTTAACCTACAATAATCTAGAATGAGAAGTTGAGGACTCTGGTGAAAACTGATCCATCAGAAATGGTGCGTGGAATGGCGAAAGGACTGGGCGTCAGCTCCCATGCGGTTTTTGATGGTTTAAATATATTGGAAAGGTCAAAAAGCTCGAAAATTGGGTGTCTCAGGATTTGAACAACCGACAGAAATTTTTACGTTTGAAAGACTTTTTTTTGCTTTTCCGCAACCTAAACAATCATTTTTTGAATCGAATCGTCACGTGTGATGAAAAGTGAATCTTCTATGACAGAGAACGTTCAGTGGTTGGTCATCGATAAGCCACCTAGGCACTTCCCAAAGGCGAAAACCCACCAAAAAAAACATGGTTCCTGTTTGGTGGTCTGCGGCCGCTGTGATTCACTTCAACTGCTGCGATTGGGCCAAACCATCACATCAGATTCCTATTGTGAGGAAATGGACAAAATGTAACGGAAACTGCGTCAACAGCAGCCGGAACTGGTCAACAGAAGAGCCCCGTCAGGACGTTTCACAAATAACCGTTCAAAAATTAAACGAAATGAGCGTCAAAGTTGTGCCTCACCCACCATACTCCCCAGACCTCTCACCTACTACCTTTCAAAGTACTTTAATTACTTTCTCATCGGTAAAACCTTCGCTCGTCGACTTTATGAAAATAAGAGCACACAATTTTTATGCTAACAGAATTATTCGACTTGAGTTCCGTTGGCAAAAATATACTAAATGAAAATGCCGCTCATTTTGATTTAATTGAATGAGTTTCCACATAAGTATTCACAGTTGACGGTAGACTCATAAAAACGGACAAAACTTCTGAAACAACCAATATATAGATAACTAGCATTATTGAACTAGTAGTTGAAATTGAAAATGAAACTGATAGCAATAAATTTGATCATCAGTAGATTCATTCAATTATCTGGTCTGTTTTGTTAAACTCAAGAACCTCGTGCAACTGAAATCGCTCGTTCCAAATTTTGCTATTTTTTAGAAGTATTCAACCAAAAATTCAGTTATCCTATAAGTCCATTGATTTTCCCACAAAAAATCACTAATTCTATTCCTTTCAGTTCAGGGAAAATTAGTGACAGATATAACGAATGAAGACATAACCGCACAAGCTTTGATCTTTTTCTTCGCTGGATTTGAGTCGCTTTCGTCTTTGATGTGTTTCATGGCTTACGAGTTAGCTGTTAACCAAGACATCCAAGAGAGGCTGAGACAGGAAATTCAAGAAAGTTCCGAACAAACCGGAGGAAAGCTAACATATGAGGTTTTAGTAAAAATGAAGTATATGGATATGGTTGTTACAGGTAATATAAAAACTGATATATATTAATAAATAATAAAATTCGGGAGACTACAGAAAATACTTTTCATCTCTTACATGCGATAAATACGATAGTGAAATTTTGGGACGTTACATATAATCAGAAAATATCGAACACGTAGACACTATTTTCATACTTAATATGTCATACTGGAACCTCTGGCGTAAAATTGATCTATTGAAACCACCAAAACAAAAATTAATGTCTCTCGACGCGCGTTTCGCTAACCAAGTTAGCGTCCTCAGGAGATCATTATCACTAACTACTACCTGTCAGTATTACCTAACTACACCGGTTAGTATTTTTTGAAGACCAAACACAGCCACAGTCCGTGGCGTATATATCGCTTTTGGTGTAATCAAATGTGTCAAGTCACTTGAACAGTTCCCATGAGAGTATCTATAGAACAGAGATAAATCTTCACACCTGAGGTGTGTAGAATTTTCTGGTTCAGAGCAGTGTTTCAAGCTTTTGAAAAGCAGCTTTGCAATTTCCGCGACATATATCGAAGACATATTGGTGTCCATTTCAACTCTCAACGAACTTATCGAAGCAAAGAGCGGAATTGTCTGTTTTATGAAACCGAACATCAAAACATGTTTCATAGACCAGATAACATGTCATAGAGAACACCATAGAATATGTGAGAAATGTTGAAAATTGTTGAGACTGGTACATGGTAACAGGTTTCTGGATGCCTTCGAAAGCTTGGAAATCAAAGAGTGTGGAATGAGTTCAGTGAATAGCGACAAAGGTCATCTTTCGAACAGCCTTTTGTTCCAAATAAGAAACCGATAAATATTAGAGATAATTACTACAATTCATAACAAATTAGAGGTATTGAAAACAGTTAGTTTAGCATAGGATCAATATCAGGTATTAGTTAGGTGATACTAACCGGTGTAGTTAGGTAATACTAACAGGTAGTAGTTAGGACACTAGCATATAAAAACACTAACATAGTAGTGAAGTTTAGTCATAATGATCTCCTGATGACACTAACTTGTTAAGTGAAACGTGCGTCGAGACATGGGAAAGTGTTTTCGAAAGACTTTTTTTATAGACTGAAGAACAGTTTCTAGAGATGCCTATAGTAAAAAACAATGATTGATGAAAATGGAAATATGACTTTTTTGTGCTTTTCAACTCGGTGATTTTTTTCGTACTGCGAACCGCCAATCAGTATACCAAAACTGATGGAAGATGACTTCGCGGTCAATACCTCCTTATATATTTGAACCGCCATCGCCATATTAACAGATTGCGTCAAACTAAATATGATTGATAAATTAAGCGGTTCCAATATTAGAATATGTATCAACGAAAATGTCGAAGACGAAGAATAATTCACAAAAACTGATCTTAATATGAATGATGAATGAAGCGGTTCAGATATTTGATGATCTGTTGATGAAAATGAAAAATAAAAAAAAATAATCTATCAAAACTGATGAAAGATTTCTTTACGGTCATTCAACACATTCTTTAATATTTGAACCGCTTCATTTATCATTCATAAATAAATATTACTGGAGTTTTTTTCCAACACCAAACCATTATTTTCAACACCCCGACACGTGTTTGGATCACCAAGTAATCATCTTCAAGAGAAAGATCGAACAGTGCATCCCATTCACATTCAGATTGACGTAATTTTGGAAGTCACAATTCCGTGTCTGTATTGAATAGACTGTGTTTCATGATCTCTTTGATGATTTTTGTAAGTGACATTAACGTACCTCCAAATTTCTCTTACATATTATACGAGTATATCATCTAAATGCTAGTATATTTTTCTGAACTTCAATATGTTTCACTGTCGTGAAAATTTCAAGATGCTCTGAGAGCATTGCCTACAAGAAAGTGGTGAGTTAGTTCACCACTTTCTGCAGATTGTTCCCATTAGTCGAACACTTACCAAACATTTTTTGAAGCTGTGCAACAATCAGAACAATGAACTGTAGATTTATCTATGTATGAATCAAATCAACCTCATTGTTTTTTGTTTTTCATCTGACATAATCCTATCAATCTATTTTTAGCGTTCTGGCCTCACAAGTCTAGTATTTGTAACCTCAGAGGTTTTCAAGATTCATTTCTTTGATAATTCATTTCAGGAAAAATAATTCTAAATTTGTTGTATTTATTTTATTTTTATCGTTGTTTTAACACATTGCAATAACGTTATAATTATATTCTAAAAACAAATTTTCATTACTTTTCTCACTGTACTGGAGACGGCGGCATTTTTCAGAAATCCGTGTTCTCGCCCATTCATCCCAAATCCCAGGTATGCTCTATTATGGTCCATTGAAGTTACGTACCGGAGGGCTGCCTGCATTTCGGTATTTTTTCACTGCTCTGATGTTTCAACAAATACTTGAACATACTTGAATGTTCCTCCTGACGAAAATCAAGTAGTTTTCATGAAAGAGCTCTACTTATCATTTCAACCTTTTTCTTCAAAAATTATTTGAATACTTAAAAAAGAAGAAGGAAATAATGCATTCAACATTTAAAGGGATTCGTTTCTATTTCACCATTTGGCAACATCGGTTATAGCTAATAAAGGACAATGAATCTGTTACCTATTTCAGTGTTTCAGAGGCGTGCTGTTCTGTTTACTTATGTTCCGAGTTCCGAGACATTCTGTGACATACGACATTTTGTGCACCTAACATATCTTCTATATAAATAAATAATAAAACAACTGTTGTTTATGTGGCTTGTGGAGGTGGTATTGAACTATAATTTATATTTTGCCTTAATTGTTGATTTATAAAGATGATTTTCCTTTTTTAAAGTAGAATATCTAGGTACGTATAAAGTATTTCAACTTTATATATCGCTTTAAATCCCTTTAAAAATCAAAACCCAACATTTGAAACATTAATTTGAATACTTTTCGAAGTGAATTTGAGAAACTCATGAATTAAACTCAACTTCATTTTGTTCAAACTTGCATTTGCGGTAATAACCCAAATTGAGGAACATTCCCCATTACTCACTGCCAGGCTTCTGATTAAGAGGCATCAGGGCGTTTCGGTTGAATTAATGTTGAAGGCATGTTGATTGAGGCAATAACGGTTATTAATTAATCAAAAGTTGATTATTCATCAAGCATTGTCGTTGTTACAGAGTAATCTGTCGGATTTTGATGACGTGAGTGAAGGAGCTATATAAATTTGACGTAGTCGCGAAATCCACGTCTTTTTGCTTCTAGGCAAACAACTCCCCTCACTATTAACTAGCACTACTCACGTAGAATTATCGTTAGGTCGAAATCTTGGAATTTTCAATCGAGTTGAGTTTTGCGAACTCTCGAGTTCCTGTTACGTGAGTGGAGGGATATATTTCACTGTAACGATAATTCTGCGTAGCAGAAATTTGACTCAAAGGAAATTTGACGTAGTGGTACACGAAGCATATACGAGACATAAAACACCGCATCAACACTGGCAATAGTGGCCTATCTAGTGATAGGGGTAAGTCTGAAGTGAGAGTCTTCTCGACCCTCCACTGCAACTCGCGAGGGACTATTATAGCTCACACCTATTAAAACTAGTCCAAATGAATCCAGCCTCCCAAAGAAGCTGATTCTGGGGAGTGACCTTCAGGTGACCTGGCAAACCTGAATATTGAAAACCTAAAAACTGGATACGGTTCGCAGCGGGGCTTGCATAGCAAATTCATGGGGCATGGGAAATCACTTCAGATCCTTCTACCCGGGCATGAATTTTCTAGTGAGGTATAATCCATGGTTTCAAAGCATAGTACATATTTCCTAATCTAGTGAGAACCTATGTTCAAGGTTTGGAGGAATCAGTAGCTCCTGCTCATTATTCGATGTTACAGGAAGGTCGATTGGGATCGTTTCATCAACCTCCATCTTCATCTGTGTACTAAGTTCGGAAGCTGTTTTTCTACGATGAGAGGGTGCCCAATATCTCCGAGTGAACTCACAGTCATTCATCTTTTTGGCACAGATACAAACACCTCAAGATGGGATGTTCGATAATAACCAGACATTACCCAAAATTTTTCGCGAAGGTCCGCCAAAAACTCTCGTGAAAGTGAATGTCTGGGCAGGAATATCAGCAAATCATATCGTTGGCCCATATATCTAAAGAAAAATATGACGTCATTTATATTTGAAAATTTTTGAAAACTTCATTCAGCCACGTATTCCCGAAACTGTGGCCAATAATAATAATGAATTCAAAAATCCAGCTGTTGTCCAACAATATGGTGTGCCCCCAGATTTTTTTAGGCCTGTGAAGGATTGATTGGATCAAATACTCCGAGGAATGTGGATAAGTAGGCGGGATCCATTGAAATAGCCTGCTTGTTTACCGGATTTGACTTCTCTCGAGCCTTCTTTGGTGTAACATCCAATCGAAAGTTCATAATACGCAGCCTGGGAAATTCACTGACATAATTTCCAAAAGCGTTACCCCGCATTAACATTCCAAAAGGTTAGAAATGAGTTTGAGAATAGTCTGTTTCACTATCTCTCTTCGAGAACATTATTTGATCAAATGATTTCTCATGTTAAAGATAAATGACGAAGAAATAAACTGCTATCATTTCATGTCTTCAAAATTACCTTATATTTATTGCAAAAAAAGTTGCTCTCAAATGGGTATACTGTTAACACCGCAATCGACCAAAGAAATTTTAAAAAGTGGAGCTTATTGTATGGAAATACCTTTCATACAAAATGCCATGAAAACCCTTTTCCATTTGAAAAGTTTGATAGCACCCTCTCGGCGGCAAGTGACTAAAATTCCTTTCAACAAAAATTTTGTCCGTGATATCTTGCCTCGAAATACCACATTTACACTCAGCCCAATTGGACAGGGAAGTGAGAAGTGAAGTGATCAGCGCGATAATGTAAACGGGTCCCTCGAGCTGCCACTGTTCATGCTGTTGCTATTGCCCAGTGCTCCCTCGACTGTCGGTTTTTCTGACGGAAGGCAAAGGACTGGCAGCGCGAATAGAAGTGAGTGTTTATCAGTCGTCTTGCTCGTTCAGTTGTTTATGTAACAGCATTTGTTTACATTTGGTAACCTGTTGTGATTTTTGTAAAATGCCGGCTTCTCCGCCGCCACCTGAGTGGAGTAATGAACTTTACGCAATTGAGCGCGTGATATGGGATCCAATGAATAAAAAATCACGGCATTTTTTTTAAATTGGATTCTCTTCAAAACACTTTAATAATTGTACATACTCATCAAACATAGAGCTGTCGCTGCAACAACTTCTATGTCCGCCATTGGTGTCAGTAGAGAAGTAAAGGCTGAATGTAAACATACACTCGCATCGGAAGTATTAAGAGCAGGGCAGTGGGTAGCGCGAGTAGTAGCGGAAGTGGCTGAATGTAAACCTGGCATAAGGAAGTTAAGGCGGGGGACGAACTACATCCGCACTGTATTTGTTACAGCATCCATGAAAATGTCATTGATAGAAGTTCTTCAAATAAAGTAGTTGAACATTTCAAGTTTCTTTTTCCACCATTATCTTTTCAAATTACTAATCGATAAAAAAAACAATCTGCTGTCTCGTACTTTGATATGAATTAAATTTGCAGACCGTTAGAAATTCTAGTTATTTTTTTGAGAGAGTATATTACTAAGTTTTTCGTTCAAACCTTCGTTCAGCATTGAATCATATACGAAACATTTGCGCATTATATTGTAATCGATTACTTTCATAATTTGCAGAGGTTCTTCGAAAATGGCCGCCGCAAGTCATAGGGGAAAGAATATGTACTGAACCATATACCATTCAACCAATTACCCCAGAAGAGAAGCCACTTCACTTAGAAAAAGGAACTTACTTAATTTTTCCCGAATACTCAATTCAACGAGACCCTGAGTATTTTCCTGATCCAGATCGTTTCGATCCTGAGAGGTTCAGCGATGAAAATAAAGGAAAAATAAAACCCTTGACATACCAGCCTTTCGGACATGGCCCGAGGAATTGTATCGGCTCTAGATTCGCTCTCTTGGAAGCAAAAGTATTATTTTACTATATTTTGTCAAAGTTTGAGATCGTACCTACTGAAAAGACAACCATACCGTTGGTCTTGGCTAACAATATAGTGGTCCTTGCCGTTGAAAAAGGTTTCGATATGGGATTGAAACGTCTTGAGAAATGATGGGCTCGTTTTTATTCGAGTTATAATATAACCGTTACTTATTATTCCTTCAATAATTCTTGAGGTTTTTTATAGTGTTATTTTCAAGCTTTCCAAACAAATTGGATGTCTTCCATATTAACAATTGCTTTAGTTTTCGTTTAAATATTGATATAAATAACAATTTGAAAGTTTGAAATTTTGTTCTACAAATAAATATATTAAAAAAATATTTCTCATTGATTTCTCATTCCACACAGTTGCCTAAAAAATAGCAACATACATGAAAATAAGTGGTGTTTTTCGATTAGCAGACTGTATATAATAAGGTTACTGAGACTTTATATATTAGAAATAATATCATTGTATTGTATTTTCATGACATACCTTAGTGAGTTGAGCTATATAGATGCCCCGACAGATTTTTAGAAACTGGGGAGAGAGGCGGTAAGTCCCTCGTTTCGTGGTACCACACACGCACGCCCGATACTCGAAGGTACTTGTGTCAATATAAATACATAAAGTGTGATACAAAATAAATGAGTTCAAATGGGAATGGAACAAATAGTTTTCTTTGGACTCGCAGACTTCCAGGACTCGCCTACGGATCACCCTCAAATTTTGTTCACTCGTCCAATAAAATTCCAGACTTGTATCGTAAATTACTATTTCCTCCTCAGAAGAAAATTAAGCACACGACGTGTTAAATATAGATCAGGACGCGTGCTATAAGCCACTGTTTGCAGTTAACTCTCATCAAACTGTAATGAAGGACGATGTGGTGCTTCTAAGATCTGTCAAAATAGTTGTTCCACATCAGCAGTCAACACTACAGAATGGAGTCTGATCTCAACTGGTGATAGAGGTAATTTCAACTGAAAAATCGAATCCAGTTAATATTCCATGAATTTCTGTGAAAAAGTATCAATTTTTCAATACATTCATGAAATAACAAAGAATATCTGGATCTTTTGATATAATAATTAGTATTTTTGATGAACTTACCTTTGATCTTTTCGGACCTTATTACTGGAACGTTCTGTGAATATAAACTGGAATTATGATGAAATCAGTTTGTTCATTTTCATCAAATCCCTTACATCGATTGGAGGAACTGTTTGTTCCGTTGCTACTCGTGAGGAGATAATCTCAAAAAAATTCGCTGAATCCAATCGAAACAGTCACTTTGAACAATCGCCATATTAACAAAAAATCAGTGATCATACTACTCACTTGGATGACTTACACATTTTTCAACAAATTGGATGGTAACGGAAACTTATAAGAAAAAGGGCTCGTATTACTCTGTTCGAAATAGTCGAACTATATGGAAAATATTACTGGAAAAATTCAGTACTATTTTCGATAGCATTTTTCAATTCAACATAAATGTGTCAATCTGGTTTATTCAAGTCATTATTCACTAATTAATTCATTGCTATTCGAAATTATATAACGATAAAGTCCCAACTAGCAATTTTATGTTTCATAGTGGTTGCGAAAACGTTTCGGAAAAACAAATTATAAAACTGTATTTCTCCCATAAATGTTTTCAATGTGTTTATGAAACAGCTATAAATAGGAAATTGGCACCGTTATATAAAACAAAGTTTTTTTAATATTCTGTAAGGCCTTTCACAAACATTACAAAACAGTTTTATAAACATTTCGGCAGTTACTAAAATTTTTCTAACACTATTCGTAAAGAATCTTATAAAATAATTGAAATACAATATTATAACAGTTTTTCAGTAATTCCAAGTAAGATTCATAAAATATAATACAGCCTAAAACGATAACGATAAAATAAAAAAGTGTTGAAAATGTTTTCTTAAAGGCGCAAGAAGTAATTTTGTAATGGATACTAGGAAACTATAATAGACATGTCACCAACTAAAAATTAACAAATAGAAACATTGGGTCCATTTAATAATTTCACTTCTACACTTATAAAACTGTTAAAGACATGTTCGTGCTTCAAAGATTAATATTTGAACGGCAAATGAAATTTTATTAACAAATATATAGACTGTAATTAGTAAAATTCAAGCGCGTCACTCTTTTATTGAAATTTTTGGAAAAAATCATCAATCATACAAAAATTCACTCTGTCGACGTATTAATTTTCTAGTCGCAAATCAACTCTGTTCTAAATAATATAATCTTATAATAACTATGTACTTTTCAACTGTAAATATCACTATAGGTGCAGTATTTCATATTTTCAACTCATCTAATGTCAGTATTCCGAATTGCTATCATTTCAAAATGTCGTTCTATAAAATAATTTGGTATCAATAGCAAGAGTTACCCCTGTAAATCTATTAAGAAAGTATTCTAGGAGTGATGGGATTGAGGAAGAGTCGGACTACTTTTGGAACTATAGATTTCTATAAAAATGAAGACAGGATTTCTCACGTGTTGTTTGGATTAATATTATCTGTCGGAATTTTTTGGCTAAGAAACTTCTTCCATCGATTATAACGGCTGAATTTCGAAGAAGTTCTGAGCTAGTGATTTGACTGTATATAAACATGGTGGTCCACTCAAATCGATGGATTTTAATCATCAATAACCTTTTCTTGTTTTCATCAAGAACAAAATTGAAGCACTAGGTTACGCGGGTCTTCGTCTTAAACCACTTTTCTTTTTTTTTTCCAATGACCAATATTACACGAAGTTATTAGTTATATATTTATTGGAACGCCAATCGAATAAAACTGACAAATTATACTTCATTACACGACCTCTAAAATCAATGTCAGCTGGTTCTTCTTGAACGCTGCATTTTATTCTTGTCCACAGCAAATATATATTAGCGGAAGCAATTTGATTTTTATAACAGTTATTTTATTGTTTTGGAATTGAAGTAAATATGCCATACAATGAAATAGTTAAAAAATTATCATTGAAGTGACAATATCTGTTTGAAAAAAAAGTCTGTTTTTCCGTTAATCAGTTGTCGCCCCCATACGAACGACAACTCTCAGAAGTTGAGAAACTTGTGCGAGTTAAGGACTAACGAGGTCTTACCTTCCAACGTGTGATTCCTAACACGGTTGCAGGATCATCACAGCTTCAACCAGATAAATTCTATCGAGAAAAATATCTGGTGGAGGCAGGAATCGAACCCACGACCTTCCGATCGTGAGTCGGGCGCACTACCACCGCGGCCAAATCCACAACAACAATATGGTAATGAAAACAAAATTTTGTTTAGAAGCATTCCAATAAAATAATTTCATTATAGCTACAGCAATCAGTTATAAAATAATCTCAGAATAGTTTCATAAAGAGCATACAAACCTCACAGAAAATTGCTATAAAACTGCTACAAAACAATGTACTTCCATAGGAAAAAATGTTTCATAAGTTAATTGTAAAAACGTTTCGAAAATAATTTTGTGACTATTTTATAACAGATTTTTAATTTTATTTCATGAACGTTCCTATGACGAATTTATAAAACACTTCTATTACTTACAACTGTATCATTTTCACGGCTCGTCTAATACAAATAATTAGCATTTTGGAAGTAATTATAAAATACCAACAAAATAAAACTTGCAGCACCATGGAATTATAAAGCAATTTTGCTGGTTGGGATTTCGTCAGTTCGTCAGCTGCGCGGTATATTTAGCTCTCATTAATGAATCACATTTCAATTTGAGATTCCACTGAACCTTCCTATTAGATCTGTTATTAATGGATAGGCAGATTTTGAACCAAGAGCTTTTGATCCTAAGTTAGATACATTCTGTTAAGAAAGTACTGGGTATCGGTTAGTCAAAAAGCCTGCGTGAAGAGATTGTCGAAATTATTTTTGGTTTTTGATTGAAATTATTAGGGGACATACACAAATTAAGGGGTCGATTAAAAATTACTGGAGTGAAAATTTGGGGAAATTTTTATTTTTGGTTTTTGATTGACACAACTGCCTTCTATACTGACGCGGAATATGAGCGCCATCTATCATTTAATCTATGGTACTCAATTTCGTAATTATGCTTTTTTTGGTATCTTAGGAGCTGTCTGACTTGTCCATTTAGTCCAAGTCTCCAGAAAACACTGCAGCCTCTTGGGCTTATTGCGTTTATCCTCCCATCTTCTCATGACACCCTTTCCATCAGTCTCGTTCCCTGTACTAGTTTGTACAGGTTCCGTGTTGGATGTTCGTCATATTCTTCTGGTGGTAATTTCGTACGTCCATATATGCCTGCCTCCTGTGATTCAGTGTCTCACATTCGCATAAGATGTGTAGAGTTGTTTTTATCCTTCGTTTCTTAATCTGCAGCTGATATCTCCGTTATACAGCCCTCATTTTATTCAGGTGTCCTCTAAGCGGACAATGACTAGTTAGTAACCCTGTTACTATTGTGAGCCGGTCCCTACTATATTGAAGTAGTTCTTCGGTTCTTTTCTCGGACGGTTCCCTAATAAAGGTTCTACTATGTTTGTTGCCAGGTACTTTTGTCCAGTACTCTGTGTACTTTTCATTGGTCCATGTCCTAATCTGTTTTCATATCAATGATTTTGGTACCCCCAGAGCTGGTTCAGGACCTATATATGAAGTTGATGATCCGCGTCTAGCGCATTCATCAGCTTTATCATTACCTGTGATTCCCGATTCCCTGGCACCCAGTACAAAGTTAATTTGTTCGTGTTTGCAAGTTCATTCAGTTCTTCATGACTTTCCCAGACCAGTTTTGATGTCACCTTCGGGTTTATCAGAGCCCCTAGTGCGCTCTTGTTTTCTGTAAAAATATTGATCCGCTCATTTCTTTGAGGTCTCAAATCAAAAAGCATTGCACACTGCAAGATAGCATACACTTCCGCCTGAAAGACGGATGTGTATAGTACTAGCGCATAACTGTAGTTTAAATTTCTATCCGCTCGGTATATTCCACCTCCACCTCTTCGATCCACCTGTATACCAAATGTTTTTCCCAACATATTTTCGAAATGAACAATGGTCTTCCACTCTTCACGGCTTAAGCCTTTGGTCGTGAAGTTTGTGTTGAAGATGTACTTCGGTGTCATGTGGTCCGTGCACAAATTCAATATGTGCTCCTCCACTTGTTCTGAAATTTCTGTTCAGTCCGATCTTTTGTAATTCGGTGAGTTTTCCAGTATGAATTGGCCCATCCTGGCCTCCCCCATTATCACTAAGTGTAGTAGAGGTAGATTCAGGAGTGTCTCTAATGCAGCTGTTGGGTTAGTTCTCATTGCTTC